AGCGGATAGAAAATTTTGAGGACGTTTGGCGCTCAGATGAATATCATGAATACTTGGTGGGGTTTGGACACAGATTAAATGAATTAATACAAATAAATCAGAAATGCTAATGTAGAATTATAAATATGAAATGCGTTACGATTTGATTTTAAATGATTTGAATTTTAATGTAAACTTTAAAGAAAAGATAAAATGCTTACAGACTAAAAAAATATATCATGATTACAGAGTTACATAAAAAAGACATATATTTTAATGAAATACAAAGTCTATTGACAATCTAAAAATGTCAACATAATGTAATGGTACGCAAGAAGCAACTACAAGAGTAACTCAAGTCCATGAGCAAAATGTGCTAAAACACGTAGAATCTATATCATTTCCAAGGGAAAAAAAGCGTCCGAGAAAAAAGATAAAGAAAGAAAAAAAAAAGAGAACTAACTGATCGATGCATTTCAGACAAGAGCTTTTGTAAAGCTGCATAGCTTAAATAATTTGCGTGAAATTGATGAAATCATGTGGTAAATCAAAATGAATTTTGGATGGTAAGATTTCAATTATAATTTCAACCATATATATATATTTCGTATGCGATTGCAAATTTCTTAAAAAAATTAAAACAAAACAAGGTCAAACACCAAAGCATTCCGCACACTGATCGAAATTATCAAATAAAAACTAAAAGGATAAAAATAGATTCAAATATAGAATTATCTCCTGTATTTGAATTGATAAAAATTATATACCGATTCAACTTCATTTTTTTCTTTTTTTTTTATACAACTTTAACGAGGAGTCAAAAATTTATATATTTTTCATATTTTTGCTAACGAAATAGCGCTTCACCCGAAACTGTTATAAAAATAATTTTAGCACTATATTGTTGGAAATTTAATTTCCGTTCTGATATAATTCTTATGCAGCTAGAATAAAAAGTTAAATCAAAAAATCATAAATGTAAAAAAAACTCTCTTTTCTGATTTTTCAGTTTTTCGCAAATGACAAAGCGCTTATCTTTATGTAAATAACTTAGTGTTAATTCCGGTTTAATTATATATGAGTTATAATGTTGTTTTGTCAATACAATCATCACTTACTCATTAAAAACCAATCATTACGTTATTTATCCATATAACCTTCACTCTCACAATTCAACTCAACTCTGTCACTTTAAAATGTCAACTAAAAAAACAAAAACGTACAAGGAAAATAATACATCACTGAGAAACGCTGGATTCAAAGATTGCGTTCCAGACTCAACACTCACAGATCAAAAATCATAAGGCATTAGCAATCACACAAACGTTTAATCCACGATCATCAACTTTAGCAGCCTTGGTACCATTTTACTCAGACACAGCTTCATCATCTTTAACAGCCGTCGCAGCAATTACTCCAACTAGACACCGAACACCATCTTTATCAACTACGCTAGCTTCAAGATTTGATAGGTATCAAGCATGTGTAAAACATTGCAAAAATAGTATCGAGATGGAGTTAAAAAAAATTTTCAAGCGAGAAATCAATCGCATGTTAAGATATTAAAGCAGTGTAACATGTCAAAACTTGGCGGGATATATATTACCGAATAAAATGTGATCGAGTTCCTCAAACAAAAAAATGAAGAAAAAGCAACAAAGGAAACTTAATGCAAAGAGTAGAGATTTTATTACTAAAATGCTTAAGCTTAACAATGCTGATCAATTACAGCAAAACAATAATAAAGAGCAATTACCTGCAGCCTAGCGATTAAAAGTTGTAAAATGTAAAAAGTGTAGAGTACGATTACACACAGAAATGTTACCATGTAAGAATTCGTTGTGTAAAGAAACATGTTTACCAAAGAGTTGGTAGTTGGTACTGAATTTTTTTGGTAAAAGTTTTAATATAGTTTCTTAAATAAAATTGCGTTAAAAAAAATAATAATAAAAAAGTTAAATTTAAAAAAAAATTCAATGTTTTCTCAAGTGTGCGGTTTTATCGGAATGTCGCCTAAAACCGCACAATTTTTTTTTTATACATTTAATATTTTCGATAATATTTTTAAATATATATTTATATAACCTTATGTAGTTTTTTATTACCTATCTAATTAAAAAATAAAAAAATAAAAATTTAAAAAAAAAAAGTAATTTAATTTTTTATTGTTTAATGTGTGGTTTTTTGACCCGGTTTTACTCTTGGCCAAAAAAGAATTTGTTTATTAAAAATAGTTCAGCAAGACATCTACTAGATATTTATTCAATAAGTCTTCCATCAACAGCTTCAAGAAAACTCCTGAACCTGGAAGGTGGTCTGGATATAGTCATTGGGTATCTTGTTTCACTCCTTCTTTATGGCAGCCTTCAGGAAGTTGGTACTCTTTTGGGAACGTTGACGAGCCCTTGATTCTACATATGCTCAAATTGAATAGTCAAGAGATGACTATCTGGAGATCCAGGTGGTCATAACTTTTTTGACCAATGTTTTGGCAGGTTCTCCTTGCGCTATATCTGAATTATATGGGACGTATGTAATGGTGTACCATTTGACTGGAACGCCACATTATTGTCCTGAGAATAGTGGGCATCAATCCATGGCTTGATATGGTTCTCCAGAACTCGATTGTACTTATTGGTGTAAACTTTCTGACAAAATTTGATGAAAACCGGAGGCATTTTGAGACCGTCAGATAAAACCAGGCCAAGCATCATCACTGAAGTCAAATGTTTGCTTTTAATTGTATACTTTACATGCTCTGGGACTGCTTGGACTGGTTGATGAATAATAAAACGATTGGTTCTACTGTTTAACACAGAATCAATAGTAAACAATTTCTCATCTAAGAAGATGGTCTTTGGTCTTTTTTTAAAGAGGCTCAAAAGTTTCTTTGATCTTCTAAATCTTTTTCCTTGGACACTTGGGAAAATTCAGGTGTGAATTGGGAAAATTCAGACTCTTGACTTAAGATCCATTCTGACTTAAGATTCATTTAAACAATGTGCGTAAAAATACGAACAAAATATTTATTTTGAACTTACCCAACTTATTACGCGTAATAAGTTAGGTAATTTCAAAATAAATGTTCCAAATCTCGTATACGAGATTTGCGGTCGCATACGGTGCATCCCAAAAAACAATTGCTGCTAAAAATTTAGAAAGTCTGATGATGATGATGATGATGATGATAATGATGATGAAGTCAGTATTTTTGGAATCTAATAGATTCCATTAGAATCACTATTGCGCATTAAAAATTAGCGATCATTTAAAAAGTTTTGTTTATTGTTTTGAAGTTTTTATCCTTCAAAAAAAAAAAGAATTTGGCAGAAAAATGAAAAAAAATAGAAAATTTAAAAATTGCAACCAAAACTATTGTAACCAAAACTAAATGTTCATATCGAACAAGTGAAAAACATATATAGCATGTATATAAGTTGGGCTGAAAAGTTCGTATCGTTAATAGAAAAACACATTTTTTTTTTCAAAATTCGGTTTTATTATTCAACATAGTTTCCATCAGAGGCGATACAGCGATTATAGCGATCTTCCAACTTTTCGATACGATTTTTGTAGTACGATTTGTCTTTTGCTTCGAAATAGGCTTCAGTTTCAGCGATCACCTCTTCATTGCTCTTAAATTTTTTACCAGCGAGCATTCTCTTGAGATCTGAGAACAAGAAAAAGTCACTGGGGGCTAAATCTGGAGAATACGGTGGATGAGGAAGCAATTCGAAGCCCAATTCGTTCAATTTAAGCATCGTATTCATTGACTTGTGACACGGTGCGTTGTCTTGATGAAACAGAACTTTTTTCTTCTTCAAATGAGGTCGTTTTTTTGCAATTTCATCCGTCAAACGCTCCAATAACGCAATGTAATAGTCACTATTGATGGTTTTTCCCTTCTCAAGGTAATCGATGAAAATTATACCATGCGTATCCCAAAAAACAGAGGCCATAACCTTCCCAGCCGATTGTTGAGTTTTTCCACGCTTTGGAGTCGGTTCATCGCGTGCAGTCCACTCAGTTGACTGTCAATTGGACTCCGGAGTGTGGTGATGAAGCCATGTTTCATCCATTGTTATGTATCGACAAAAAAAATCGGTTTTATATCGATGTAACAGCTCCAAACACTGCTCAGAATAATCAATTCGTTGTTGCTTTTGATCGATTGTGAGTTCACGCGGCACCCATTTTGCACAGAGCTTTCTCATATTCAAATATTCATGAATAATATGTCCAACGCGCTCCTTTGATATCTTTAAGGTGTCAGCTATCTCCAACAACTTCACTTTACGATCATTCAAAATTATTTTGTGGATTTTTATCACATTTTCATCGGTAACAGCCTCTTTTGGGCGTCCACTGCGTTCATCATCTTCTGTGCTCATATGACCAGTACGGAATTTTGCAAACCACTTACGAATTGTTGCTTCGCCTGGTGCAGAGTCTGGATAACACTCATCAAGCCATTTTTTGGTATCGGCAGCACTTTTTTTCATTAAAATATAATGTTTCATCAACACACGAAATTCTTTTTTTTCCATTTTTTTCACAATAACAAAAGTAGCGTCACTACTAGAGCAATATATCACAAACTAATAATCTGACAGCTGTCAAATTTTTACACGTATCTTTTCAAGGTTGGTACTAACTAAAAATGGTATGAATTTAATTCTAGTGGCGCCATTTCTTAGAAACGATACGAACTTTTCAGCCCAACTGTTATGTTTTGGAATAATGCAAACTTTTGTTTAATGCTAATTGAGAATAAACAATGTAATTTTTTTGTCTTTTTAAGGTGCTCATATAACGGCGCTTATACCTTCTTCCTTCTTATACCTGCCCGATTATCTTGGTAAATCTACTGATCATTTTAAATTGCAGATTTTTTTATTCGTTTTTACCGGGATAATTACTGATCTAATAAATTTAATCATCATTTAATATTGCCCAATACGAAACAAACTTATTATAAAGATATTTATTGACTTTGATTGATAAATTATAAAAAATTATCATTTTCTACAAACGTTGCTATAATTTTTTTCATTTCATCAATTTAAAACATTTTTTAATTATTGCACACAATATAAATGATTACATAAATGTAAAATTAGAGAATAAATAAGAAAACGAAAATAACAAAATAAAATTTAATAACGAATACACAGAAAACGGCTCCTCTATGGTAGCTATGGTATGTCGTCAGAAATGTTTACACAAAAAAAGTTTTCGACAATTTCTTTTTATTATTAAAAATTCTAAAAAACAGAAGCTTAAGTAACTTAAACATAAACTCTTAAATAAATTGACATTATCAAGCCTTGAAGATTACAAATTAGTTTTAGTCAAAATGACATCGGTAACTAAATATTTTTTAAATACTGCAAATATATATTATTGAAATCAAATATAATATAAAAACATTAATCAAATTACGTCATCAGATTATTTGTATATGAACAAAACTTGTTACGGTTCTCAGTGATTTCAATTTTAATCTAAAAATAGATAATTAAGTTAAAAAAACAAAAAAAATTTGCTGATTATTCAATATAAGAATATACCTGTTGTAGCAAACCTTCCGTTTTCTGAAGGATTTTGTAAAATCTTAAAAAAAAATAAAAATAACAACATGAATAATAATCACAGAAGCATGATCAATATATATATATATATATATATATATATATATATATATATATATGCATGTATATATGTATGTATGTATGTATGTATGTATGTATGTATGTATGAATGAATGTATGTATGTACATACATACGTAATAAGTAATCTAAAAACGCGTCAAACTTGTCAGGTTTTTGGCGAACATGTTTTAAAATAATATATTTTTAATACGATTGTCTTAATATTTTGAAAATCTAAACCAAATTTTTTATAATGTTAAATAAAAAAAATATTATTGCATGACTTAGTTTGAATTACTGCATAATTCGTAATGTGAAAAATAAAACATAAAGCTGTAAATTAAGATATTTGCACTTTTTTATTTTTTAATTTTTAAACATAATAAAATAACGATTTCATTTAGTTATAAATATTTAAAAAAAGTTACGAAAAGTTTCAAAAGAATCCCTAGGATTAATATTTAAATATTATTTGGTTACTAACTTTTCATTTAAACTTTTTCCTGGACTTTTTGCAAACTTGGAGCTCCAAAAATTTTTACGAATCTCTTAAAAAATTTCTAAGAAATTGTCTTTAAAAAAAAAGTGTTCATTAAGCAGATTTACTACTTATCGCACTTATATATATTGTTGTATCAACAATAACAACAAAAATTTTCAACTAATTGCGTTAACTGAAAGGAATCGCACAAACAATTACAACCTCAATCAATAAGCGCCCACTTTATTAGATCATCCTAATTATGCATTATTTATTGCGTTCATGTTTATTATTATTATTTTTAAAAAATTTAAAAAACAATAGTAGAAAGAAAATTTACTTAGTTATTTCAGACGAAAGTAAATTATTTTGATTCTCGTGATGGGTAAATGTAGTTGTACTAAAGGATAAATTTTTATTATTTAAATACATTTTACAAACATACAAAAAATAAATATAATAATAAGAAGAAATATAACAGAGTCTTACTCTTTAAAAAATGGCCTATCAGTAAGAATGATGTTTTCTAAACTAGCCAACCTCATCAGCGTGTAAATATTCACTACAAAGATCAGAAAACCTCTGCAAAATAAAAAAATAAAAAAAAACAAATAGAACTTTAAGCAAAAAACTAATAATGAACTAATTAACGATTAATTTAAGAAATATCGATTAGAAACAGCGGTTTCTAATCAATATTTCAGGTGATTTAAAAACACTTACAAAAAAATACATAAAAAGTTTAACATAAACCCACTTAAATAAAAAAAACTAACATGAAAACATAAACATAAAAAATTTAACATAAAGACACTTACATTAAAAAACTTACGTAAAAAAACTTACATAAAAGAGCATAGAATCAAAATGAACCAAAAGGAATCACTAAAATATATAAAAATTTAAAAAAACATAAATATTGGATTCTAATTGATAAGCATACATTATTAAAAAAACAACTTACAAACTCATGCCAAAATATTTTTTAGAGTCTATATTTGGAATACTGGATTCTAAAACAATACCCCATTTTTATTAACATAAAGCAACCAAACTATGCATTTTAATTATAAAAATAACTAATTACTTTTATCAATATAATATTTATCAAAAATAACCAATTACTTTTATCAATATACAAATACCTAATAATTTTTATCAATATATTATTTTTATAATTACTTTTATTGACATATAATCAACTATTAATATATAATTAACCAACTATTTTTTTATATATACAACCAACCAATTACTTTTTCATATATTATATATAACTTATTACTTCTGTTATATATTTTAGAAAAGAAACATCAAAATGCTTGACAAATTGCAGAAAAATTTTATGATAATGACATAGGTAGCATGTTATTCATAATCAAATTGTATTTTTTTTCTTTTTCAGGCCATTATATGAATAAGATAATATATCATTAACATTAGATTAGTTGGTGAACTTAAAAAGGTGGGTAAGGGTGGATGAATGGTTGATGGTTGGCAAATACTGAAAGCAATATAACACCTTTTCAATGCAGATAGTTTATATCAAAAATTATTCTTCATTATACTAAACCTTTTTGTCTTTTTCAGAACTTTATATTTTTCAGAACATTTAATGTCTATAATTTAATGTCAACAGGCAGCTGGGCAACACATAAACCGTGTTTGATAAATTACATAAAATGTAATTTATCAAACACGGTATAGGATTGGAACACATTGGGTATCTAGTTAACTTTTTGGAAGTTTTTTATTTTTATTTGGGCTGTACTTAGATTTGTTTTATTTTTTTATTTTTTTCATTAAATTTCCAAAACTTTTCTAAAAATATTATGCTATGCTCACACATCAAGTCTAATATATCTGTTGCATCTGCTATAACATAGTATTTATAATTAAAGAGTTCTAAAAAGCTGCAACAAGGTACCAAGAATTTAAGGTGGATTTCCCTATATTTTCCCTGATGTTTTCCTGATTCACTACTTGTTTTCTCTGATTTAATTTTAAGTTACCCAAAGTCAACTTCAGAAAAATTAAACTTAGATTCTTATGGAAGAATCCTCTTTAATTGCAAAAATCTAAACAATAAAGTATCATTAAAATTGCCAAAGTTTATTAAACTAGCTGTCAAATAAAATTTTATATTTTGTGTACGATTACATTTTCCCTGACTTCTCCCTGATTATTCCCTGATTTTTCTCGCAGAACGCAGACCACCCTGAGCAATGACTACAATGTTGGATTGTCTCAGATATGACATGCTTAAAAAAGCAAACAAATTAGCAGGTTCAATTTTTTGTTTAAGCAAAACAGGCAATTGGTAAAATGAACCAGCACACTCATGAATCTAAGTTCTCCCGGAAGCTGACCATTCACTATTGAAAATGTTTTCTATCTTTCTGCATCTGAGAGTTTATCAACAAACATGATGCCTTTTTGCTTGTGGTATTTTCAAAACAAAGAGTCCTTCCATGTTCAACCATAAAGCTTTAGGTTACTCATGAAGATTATTTTTATTTTATTTCATTACAGACCCTATTTTATTTTGAACTTATGGCATAGTCATAATACTTTTGAAATATGTAAGCCCTAAAATTATTTTTCTTTAATAAACTAACTTTAAAATGCACCCCAATAATTAATTTTTTGATAATTAATTATCAAGGTGCATTTAAAAGTGCATTTTTTAGCTAGTGGAAGTATAGAATATTACAACAATTACTATTGGGGTGCATTTTAAAGTTAGTTTATTAAAGAAAGATAATTTTAGGGCTTTAGAGAGCAAATTTGTCTTTATTTTAAAAATCAACATTCCAGAGAGTTTTTATCAGTTTTTATTTAAAGGAACATAACTTTTAATGGAAGCTGCTGTAGTCTCATGAAAGATGCTAAATGCAAGAAGGAACACTTCCCTTATTATTTCCTCAATGTAAAATTTGAAATGTGAGTTTATGTGCCTTACATTAAGTTTTCTTTGTCAATAAGTTTTTCTTCCTCTTTAAAAATCTTATAGAGAAGATGACAAGATATTTCAACAGCAGTAACTGAAATAGGCTCAATAAGTCTATTGAAATGGGAAGAAAATATAAAACGAAAATATTAAACGCTTTGAATTCAAAAAATCATTTCAAAATTTTTAAGAAATGAACACAGGTAAATTTTTCTTTTGTAATATAAAATGATATGATCTTCTTCAGCTTTACCAATTCCAAAGCATTTAATTGACAGCCCCTATAGTAATACATTTATCAAATGATAGTCAGCAAGTTTTGGAGTGTTTTACAATAAATCCAGCAGACTATAAAACTAATAAACTTTTTTTAATTTCAAGGAATAATTTTTCATTAATATTAAGTAAATGAGGTATCTTTATTGGTTTCAGTGTATGGACAAGACTTTAGGTTATAAATGTTTTTTAAACATGTAACCTATGAGAAAGATTTTTTTTTTTTAAATTAGCAGCATTAAAAAGTTGTAAAGTTGCTATGAAAATGTAATAATAAATTAATATTTAATTTATACAAATTAGCTTCAGTTCTAATAGAGTCTAATGGAAGATATATTGTTAATTTATGATTAAAAACTTTTTTCTTAATAATTTCTAAGAATTAATGACTCAATATCTGACTCTGATGATATCTTGCAGCTTTGTAATCTTGTAGCTTTTTGACAGACTTTTTGGTGCTTGTTTCAATTTTGTTGAAACAAGCAACAAAAATTATCTTGATTTAAATAATGCTTTTTTCAAAAAAGATAATTTTTACAACTTGAGGTTCTGATGTTTTTTTTTATTATTTTTTTATATTTTTTTATTCTTGTATTAATTAAATACATGGAATACATTATCTATTGATATTTTCAATAGATAATATAAATATGATAATATAAGATATGGGAGTCAAGAGAAATATAATATATTTTTGTGTTTGACTGAATCTTTTCCCATAAAAATATCTGATTCATTATGAATGATTGTGGCACATTTAGTAGAAGAGTTTCTTGATAGACCCAGCCAGTAACAGAGAAGATGGACTTCTAAATAAATAGTTGGAATCGGATTAACATCATAAATAAAAGGCATTGTTTTGAACATTTTGGATCAAAATGGGCCCAACAAACACCTGAACACTCTATAAGAAATCAATTCTTTCTACTAACAACCTAATAAAACCTTTTTTTTAACGAAATTCTTTATATTCCTCACTTTTTATGCTGGTGCCATATTTAATTACAATTTACACAAACTTATCAACATGGGAGTATGTTATATTTATACTTTAATCCTATATTTTATATAATCCCATTACTTTTCATAATGCAAAGAACTTAAGCAAAAGTTATACGAATAATTAGGTACTGGAATTTGGGCACAAATTTGGGCGTCTAAACTGGTATACCAGTATCAAAATTGGCCTGTATATGTCAATAATATATTACAATAATATTAGAAATATAATATTTAAACTAGGTTTGGAAATTTATAACATCTATCACAAATGTTAAAAATTCTAATTTTTTAATTTAAATATTGTATTTGTATTATTATTGTACTTAATTACACTCTAATTTAATCTCAATATTAATAAGTTCTTCATAAGTAAACTCATAATAAAATCCATAAATAAACAAATTTCATAGCAATAAATAACTTCCTGTGATTTCTGAAAAGTTACAGGAGAAGCATTTTTTTTAATCCTCTATTAATTAAAATGCATATTATGTGTATTAGATATAAAAATTTGTAAAATAACTATTTAACATCAACTTTGTTATAGAAGAACACTAATATTATTTTTACCAAGTTTAAAATATTTATACTAACTTTGTTTGTCCAATGCTGAAGTATTTATCTGTTTCAAAGTTTTTCTTAATGATTGATTTTTTTTATTAATTTTTGAGAAACTCCTTGGAATGCAAGTTGATTTTTTGTTTGAAGAAATACTACCCTTGCTTCTTAAAGATTGTACTAAAAAAGATTTTTTTTCAAATTAAAAAAAAAATACAATTAAAAAAGACATTTAGAAGAATATATTCTTATATATATACAGTCATTTAACTCAAAGTTTTGTTATCTCAAAGTGTTTTCTATAACCCCCTGAAAGCAAAAACAATTTACTTTGCCCAAGTCAAACATTCCTTTAGTCAAACTTTTTCCTTGGTCACTCGGTGGTTCAAATTAACCAGAATTTACTGTATGTGTATTGTATGTGAATTTGTACTGTATGTGTATTGTATGTGCACTGTATGTGAATTTACTCTATGTATGTATGTATATATATATATATATATATATATAATATATATATATATATATATATATATATATATACATATATGTATATATATATATATACATATATGTATATATATACATATATGTATATATATACATATATGTATATATATATATACATATATGTATATATATATATATATATATATATATATATATATATATATATATATATATATATATATATATATATATATAAATATATATTTAAAACAAAACTTTTTTGCTCCAACTTCTAGCAATATTTAAAAGAAAATTATATTTCAAATGCGCATCTTAGGTAAAAAAAAATGATAAAAGTAGTAACAGTACTAAGGTAAAAATTATTGAGTATGTTATTTAAAAATGTTGAAAAAAAAAAGGAAAGTATAAAAACATTAAGTTCTACTTGTATATAAAATTACACAAAAATGTTTCATAGGACATAGTTATCAGTTCTAACAATGATGAATCAGATATAGAAGAAGAATAAGATTGTAGAAGATATATAGAAAGAGAATAAAAAAAAGAAAGTTTTAGACTGATTATAACAGAGTTAAAACTAGCATCAATTGAGCATCAATTTCTTAAAATGATAAAAATATAATTGTTCTTAAGAGAGTTTTCTGGTAAAAAAAGCCAACAACAACAAAAAAAAAGATTACAATTGAAAATAGCATCTGCACTAGAAGAAATCCATGGTAAAAGTGTAGCTTGATGACAAAACCAGTCATAATCTAGTTGTAATTGTATAATGATTAATTAAATATGATGTGAAAGTGAAGCAAGATAAGAGTTTTAGAGAGATTGCAGATAGCCTGAACCATCTAGAAGAGAATGACAAGAAATAAACACAAGATAAGGTTAGAAACCAAGGAAAAAAACCAAGTGAAGGTAAAGGATTTGGTTTATCTGGTATACAAGTCACAAATTAATGATCTGGGTAAAATATTTCTGAACTTTAGTGCTGACAAAGTTACCAACAATATTAGCAGGAGGATATAAAAAAAGAAAATCAGTGTGATTGGTTATAAAAAAAAGTAATTGTAGCGCTAAAGAAAAGTACATAAAAGAATATTCAGTGGATTTAAATCTGATTCCACAACAAATCGATGTGGAAGTATAGCTCTAACCACAACAAATGATTCGATGTGGAAGTATAGCTCTAACCACAACAAATGATTCGATGTGGAAGTATAGCTCTGGCCTATGCATGCAAATATTAGAGCTTTGTAAATCAGAAGACAATATCCACCAAGAATGATATAAAACAGATAAATTTAAATTAATCTCACAATAAATAAGTAGTTCTAACAAAATTACCAAGATACTTGACTAATAAACTACTTTAAAGACTATGGATTCTTAGGTGGCTTCAACAATTCAAAACAAAAACTCTAATAGCGATACCAAATATGCATGACATGGCACTAATATTTTACTATTTTTGATAAAATTCTCTTAGAGTTGCTACAGAGTTTGAGAAATTTTACTATCAGCCTCAGAACTATTCAAAATTTACTACCAGCCTCAGAACTTTTAAATTTAGACTATCATTAGGAGTAAACAGGCAGAGTTGCAATAGCCATTAACAAAGAGGCATAAAAAAAAATCAGCTTAGGCAGGGCACTATGTAACAGTTTGCAATGCCAATATAATAGATGAAAAATGAGTGTGAGGTTGTTCAATAGAAATTTTATGCTTTCCTCTAAAGTCTTTAGTTAGGAAACATCCTGTAAGAAAATAGTGGGATGCAGTAAACATCTGTTTAAAATTAATATTTTAATGAGGACACCATCAAAAACTTTTAATCAACCAAGAGCCCTTAACTTTGTGCAAACCTTAACATAAAATGTTTAACCTAAAACCTTTAGCACTTTAGTTATGACATTTTAATTTCAAAGAGAATTCGATTCCAACAAAAATAACATAAAAAAAAAGAAAAGTATATGAGGAGCAACTCCAAAATGATAACTCTCCAAGTTCAACATATCCATTCATGATCCTTACCAAAAAATTTGAATCACATTTACAAATCAGCCATAAAATTATAATACTGAGTTTTAAACTTATACCACAAAAAAAATTAATGATCTGACTCCAGAAAAGTTGACAGGATAAAGAAAAAGAACTTTGTAAGTAAAAAAATTGACTAGACAAAGAAGATGTTGCTAATTAATACAAAAATTGCTCTTAAAATGTTTTATTATAGGCTTAAAAAAAATTAATAAAAACCTACAAAGACATTTGAAATAGTCATTCAAAGCATCTTCAGTTGTACGAGAAATCATGTCTAAAGAAAAAAAAAAACTCAAACTTTTAGAACATATTGAAAATCATGACATTTAAACTTATATAAACATTCTAATTAATTATTATGAGAAATTTAAAACAGAGTTCTCTTAAAGAAAAGAAATCAAGAAAATTTTCTGCAACAACCATAATTAAGTTTAAAACTATGAACTTGAAAACTAGCTTCATGTAGATTTACTAATTTGTGAGTATTATCACTAAGGTAACTTTACAATACAGCTAAATACTATTTTAACAAGTTTTTTATTTAAAGGGAATGGTTAACCTAGTAGAGTATTTAATTGAACCTAAAAAGGTCTCACATAAATATGTTAACCTAGTAATGTATTTAATTGATTCTAAAAAAGATCCCACTTGAACAGGTTAACCTAGCATTGTTTTTAATTGATTCTAAAAAAGATCTTTTAAATAATTTATTTTAAATCTTATTTAAATTTTTTTAATAAGATAAAAAAAATTATAAAAATTTTTTATATCTTATTTTAACATGTTTTTTTAATGGATTTGTTTACAAAAAAATAATCAAAAAGGAATTCAATTCATTTATTTGAAAAATAAATTAATTCCCTTAGATCAAAAAACTTTTTTTTGGTAATTTCAAGCTTGTTTTTTTTAACGATTTTTTGATAATATTTGCATTATTTTTTTTTTATATTTTTGAATTATTAAAAAACTCACCAAAAATATCTAAATTTTGCCCTAAATAACTTGCAACTCACGATTATATATTTATTTTCAAATGTAAAATGTCACACAATGATTCAGAAATTAATTTTTTTTTCTTATAATTTTCTTTTGCCAAATGTTCATCAGCTTTAATTTTTCTGCACTTTTTTGATCAATAATAGCATCTTTTTTTTTCACTATTCATTAAGACAATTTGTATTAAATTTATATTTAAAAAATGTTATTTAATTTTTCTATTAATCCTTAATTCTTGCCAATTCAATATTTTTAATGTTTGCATGCAGTTTGAAAATGACTGCAGATGATTTTTTTTACTGGTTTATGCGAGAGTTCTCTTTGCTTAAAGTACACTAACACTGTGGCCTTGCTTGCCAATATTATTGGCAAACAAGGTCAATACATTTAAGAATAATTTTAACAAACCAACCGCATTAAGAATTTTTATTAAGTTAAATGCTAAAATAATTTTTTAAACTATGCTTTTAGCAGAATAAAAATAAGAAGAATTTTTGTCAAACATTTGTTAAAATTTGTTACAAAAATTAATGTACTTAAAATAGCAATACGTTTTTTTTAATGTTAACTTTGTTTTTGTTTTATTTTTTATAATATTTGACTAAATAAAACATTAAAATAATTTTTTTACCGGTTTAGTTTGTTTGTTGTAAAATTTAATGAACTAACAACTTTTTATTTCTTTTTGTTTAAAAAAATTATATAAACGATTCAAAAAAGGGTGTATTTAATGTCTTACTACACCAAAAAAATAAATTTTAAATAATTTTGGCTGTTTTTTCTGTCAGTTTTTTCTGCTGCATTTTAAATTTTACTTTTTTTTAATTTATTTTATTTTAAAATTAATTTGAAAGCTTAAATACCAATTTTTAACAACCAATGTGAAGACATTGCGGATGAACAAATCAAATACCAACTTTCAAATACTAATGTGAAGATAAACTTTAGATTTCATAAATACATTAGTTAAACAAGTGATTAACTATATTGCTAGTTATCAATATAGATATATAATGTAAATCATTAATAATTTTAGTTTACCACATTTACAACAATATTTATAACCTTAACATTAACTTTTATAATTATAATTATTTTTAAAAAATTTCAGCAAATAATGGACAGACCTATATAGTTGCTTACATAAGTTGGACATTCCTTAGTAGAAAATATTAAATGGAACTTCCTAGCTATTAACAATAAAACCAAACAAAAACCTACAAGTTGAGTCAAAAAGATTTAGAACCTAAAGCATAATTATATGTAAAAAGGGTATTAATATATTTTTATATAACCTAATTTTGCTAATTATTATAAACTAATTTTACATGCCTAACCCTAACCTCAAAATATCCTATACATACTATATATGCACTATTATGAAAACATATACTATATATATATATATATATATATATATATATATATGTTATATATGAAAACATATACATACACATACTACTGAAACCCTGTAACATATATAGAAACAGTTCAAATAAAAATCATTATTAATATTAAAAGTTCAAATAAAAATCATTATTAATATTTTTATTTTTCCTCTTATTTTATGAATTTTAGGAATTATCTACTTACTTTTAACCACTGCAAACAACTTCTTAGTAAAAATTACTTCACCAGTAACTCTGAAAAATATATATATATATATATATATATATATATATATATATATATATATATATATATATATATATATATATATATATATATATATATATGTATGTATTATATATTTATATATATATATATATGTATATATATATATATATATATATATATATATATATATATATATATATATATATATATATATATATATATAACAGAGTTAAAACTAGCATCAATATACATACATATATATATATATATATATATATATATATATATATATATATATATATATATATATATATATATATATATATACATATATATATATATATATATATATATATATATATATATATATATATATATATATACATACATATATATATATATATATATATATATATATATATATATATATATATATATATATATATATATATATGTATATATATGTATATATATGTTTATATATGTTTATATATATATATATATATATATATATATATATATATATATGTATATATATATATATATATATATATATGTATATATATATATATATATATATATATATATATATATATATATATATATATATATATATATATATATATATATATATATATATATATATGTTGATATATAACTATGAATTTGTGTTTAGATAACATTTCTTATAACACACTGAAATAGCTTGCAGCTAGAGACTTCAGTACATACATCAACCATCTTTTAGCCTGTTACCACAAAGGACTGCCGCTACATTGACTAAGAGTTTGGCATGGGGCAGCAATTTTTAGTTTCATTATTCTTTTTTTTCTGAAAACGCTGTATGCTAGATAAGAAAAGAAGGATAAGAAAAACTAGTAACAATTTGTTACTAGTTTTTAATTATGTGCAAGCTGAGAAGCTGCCTAGGCAACTTTTTGTGTGAGATCTATTTTTTATTTTATTAAAAAAAAAAAAACAATGTAAACTACCAGTTTATATTGTGTTTTTTTTAATTAAAAATGACGTTTAATGTCATAAAAAATTCATTAAATACATTTTAAAACACAGTTTGTTCAAAACTAACATAATAAATTTATAATAGAATTTATTCAATGATAAGTATTTTATTAATAAAATATACAATAAGAGACGGATGGTAAATCTAAGATGAGGAGGTAAAGTAGACTGTGTTAAAGATGATGAAGCGTGATTGGATAAAGATAATAAAGCTGGCTAAAACATTAATTAAATTGTTTGAGCAATTTTTTATTTTGATTGATCACCTTTACTAATATCAAGTGTAAACAAACCAGAATTTTGAAATTCAGCAATTATTTGGGTTTGTGTAAATGCATCATTGAGGCTAGAAATTTTTGCTTGTAGTTGAATGAAACTTTGTTAAACTGTTGAAAATTGAAGATTCATAAAATTCTTTAAGTAGTTTGTGTTAACGTAATTTAAGATAAAAATATACACCTACATATAACAGTTGAAATATGAGAGACAAATAAGACAATAAATATATCAGCCTGATTTTATTATTAATGCAAATAAGAGCAACGCTATAAGTAAAACATATACCCACCCATAACAATAATGTAAGTACCTATAATTAAAAAATACTTCTTTAAACATTTTATCTCAATTCATAACAGGGATATAACCACACACAGAACACACACAAATAAAACTATATTTGTGTTCCAGAAAATATCTAATCCATATAAAGCAGCTGAAATTATAAGTTTCCATAATTGAAATATGAAATATGAGAGACAAATAAGACAATAAATATATCAGCTTGATTTTATTATTTATGCAAATAAGAGCAACGCTATAAGTAAAACATATACCCACCCATAACTATAATGTAAATACCTATAATTAAAAAATACTTCTTTAAACATTTTATCTCAATTCATAACAGGGATATAACCACACACAGAACACACACAAATAAAACTATATTTGTGTTCCAGAAAATATCTAATCCATATAAAGCAGCTGAAATTATAAGTTTCCATAATTGTTTTGTACATAATGATCGTGGTTTTTGCTTTTTTCCTTATGACTTATGTGGTAAATATTAATATAGAAAATATGTTTTTAACTAAATATAAAAAAAAATAAAAAAAGTGAAAAAAAGTTACTTTATTCCTGTTCCATTAATGATAGTTAAACTAATTTAATGATAGTTAAGCTGATTTTAAATTATTTACTTTAAACTTCAGGGAGCGTATTCAGCAAACTTTTTTTTTGCGTAAGTTTGGTGTAAGTTCATAACTGTGAAATTCGTATTCACAAAACTTGCGCATTTAGACTGGAAAAAATATTTGGATTCTTAGATGGTTTAAGTTATGTTCATTGTTTACTCTAATAAACATATATTCTTTGGTGTTCTGCTAGTGGATAAAAAATTAAAAGAGAAGATAATGCTAGTCTTAAGGAATATTTGTAATCAAACCCAACTAAATGGCTTTAGCAACAACAGAAGTAGGTCATCTATAATATAAATTAAGCCTTTGGGATAGTGCAAACAAATTAATGTGTAAATCATTGTTATATGTTTTGTAATGTAGAGCCAGATCACAGGCCAGCTTGAGGAGTGAATATATAATTTGCATACCTCCGAGGGTTCATAATGATTCAAACACCTACGCACCAAAATAAATTTTGATCTGAAAACTGCTGACAGCGTACTAAGATAGTCTGGTGGGTTTTGAGGTATTTATGTATTGAAGATTGGCTGATAACAGTTATCATGCAAAAGATTAAAAGGTTGAAAGGCAGCAGGCTTTTGCTTTTTATTACTGTTTTGGAATCAATGTTGGTTAACTTCTTAATATTTTTACTACTGTTTTGGAAGCTCTATCTAAAGAGTTCAATGTTGGTTAACTGTAAGAACTGTCTATACAGATCATTTATGCTTGATTGCAGAAAAAGAGGAAAAACTTATACAAAAATTTTAGTGTTGAAAAGTTGGAATGGAAGCTAAATGGCTTAGGATATGAAACAAATAAATCAAAGGTTATGCTAAAATACTGGAAAATACTGGAAAGCAGCCTCGTCGAGTGTTTGGAAAAAGATGTCAATCAAACTCTATTGTTTGAACAATTTGCAAGCAATGAGTTTACAAGATATGTAGCAATGCACAAAGTGTTCATAAGGGTGTTTTATTTTTGAGTGTAGAAAATTTTAATCAAATTTGATCTAAAATAAATAGTGGTGGAAAGATGGAGCACGTTGGTAATATTTGTTATCTTAAAAATACAAGATGGGGCACGTTGGTAAGTTTTTATTATCTTAAGGATACAAGATGGAGCAAGTTGGTGAATTTTGTTATCTTACAGATAAAAGATGGATTCTTCATCCTTTATCTTTTATCTATCCATCCAGATAACAAAACTTACTAACATGCTTTAGGAGCATGTTAGCAAGTTTTGTTATCTTAAAGACACAAGATGGATCAACTGGTGGATCAAAAAAAGCATCAAGAGCAATGGTAAAGTGTGCCTTGAACAAGTCCAGAGAACTATCTTCATTTTTGTAGAGAATTATCTTGACATATCAGCAACATTTATATTTTAAAAAATTAAAGGAAAGTTGTACACCACATGCATAAAAAGTGTTATAATGCATAGAAATGCAGAGAAACATATAAGGTTATTACAAAATGTTTGCCGAATAGAAACATGTTATTATGTTTCTATTCGGTGGAAAGGTGGTTCTTTTTAAAGGGAACTTAAGGCAAATAATGCCAGTTATTTGAAGAGGACAACCCTCAGAAATTTTAGAATCATATATAAAATATTCTCAACATAATGTGTACAAAAATTTTTATTAACTGAAAACATACAAATTCAAAACAGACAGGATGATTTTTCTCTAGAGCTCTTGCAATTAGCAGTTCAGTAAAGTAGGCAATTCAGCTCAGTACTCATTATTTAAATTAACAATTTATACTAAAATGTTACTTAAAAATTTAAATTTTAAATCTGGTCTATGTGATGGAACAAGATTAACTTACATACTATGCAAAATAATTATACTGATGTTGAAGTATTGATAAGTTTTTCTATTGGTAACAGAGCATTTATTCCACAAATTTAGTTAGCTATTCCAGTTTATCATTCATTTTAAAACATCTTCAATATTCTGTCAGGTTAGTATATTCAGTAACAACCATTAAAATTCAAGGTAACTTTATAGTGTTGATGCTCATCTTAAAAACTTTACTTTTTTTAAGCTTGTTTTACAACTAGCTTTTTTGCTTGTTTAAGAATAAGATTGTTTATTTTTCATTGATAAACATTTTTTTACAAGACATGGCAGTTAAAAAATATTTTTGCAAGGCGTAGTAGTTTGTAAATTCAGGTAAAGAACTTATTTTTAAATAATCATCAAAAATTAAAGAATGATTAATTTAATGATAATGTAACAGTTTATTTGTTAATGAACAAAAGTAAATAAAATTATAAAATAATTTATTAAATAGACAACCCAATATAAAAAAAAAATGTAAATACTGAGTATGTATGAATAAAATTTGTTTTTGAAAATGCCACCCATAAAATCTTAAAGTATCAATATATTTTTTTTTGAGAGCAAATACTTAGCCATAGAGAATGCTTGTTTAGACTATTTTTGGACTATAGATAGTAAACAATCAAATACTTTTTGAAGGTGATCACCTCTTGTGCCTCCGCTTTCAAACAACAACATTTCTTTTTGAATTTTAGAAGTTATACTTTTTATTCTTATAGGTGGTTTTGGTATTCCCGCCAATCCAATTTCATAACTTTATTTAATTGCTTACTAATGGTTTCAATGTTATTTTCATATTCATCATATTAATCAAACATAAATTCTAATTATTTTTCAATTCATGAACGTTTAAAATATGAGGTTTCTAAAAGAAACCTACTGGTCAAGCATTAAGGAAAATTTAAAGCCTCTTGAAATTTGATAAATTGTTTGAAATTAATTACCTAAAGCACACATGGAAACCTGGATAATAACTTTTTGAGAATTTTTAAGTTTGTTAAAAAAATTTTTTTTTAAGATTTATAATTTTTGCTTTCTATAAATGCAAAAGCATTTATATGCAAATTTTTTCATTTACCTCAGTTAGCTATTTTTACTTTTTAGTAAAAATTCAACTTTTAAACACTTTGTAACTTTTAGTAAAGTAATTTATTTTATGTAATATAAAAACTTTATAAAAATGATAAAAAAACAAACAATTTTTTTACTGAAGTTGGCTTTGCTTTCCTGATTTTCTAGTTAAACAATATCGAATTGCAATGTTAAAGCTATCAGCGTAAGGTACTCCAAAACTAGTGCACTGAAAAATCAACAATAAGAATACACTAAAAATGTTTAAATATTTGATCTACTGATTTTATTATCAAAAAAATGTCTAGACATTTGATAATAAAAAATAGATTTCTTCGATAAACATACAAATAATCAAATAGAAAACAGAGCATTGACATCATAACACTATACATGTAAGCAGGGCTGCTCTGGAGCTGGAGTTAGAGCTATCTGGAGCTGGTTTTTTACAAGGAACTGAGTGGGAGTTGAAATATTTCTAGGCAGAGGTGGCTTCGGGGCCAGCTCCAAGCTAGCTCCTCTCTTTAAAAGTTTGGAAGATCAAAACATGAGTATTTTTTGTTAAAGGGATTTGATTTAAATAAGTACTATGAAGTTACTTTTTATATGAAAAAAAATTAATTACAATTTAACTTTTTTAAAGTTAAACTGTAATTAATAGTTTATGAATTTATTTAAAGTTTTATGATTTCTATATAAAGCATTTTATATTTTGATATTGATATTATATGTATAGATTAAGTGTTAAGTATTTAATGCTTACCTTAAGGCATCTGGAAATTTAATATTTTATAAATTGTACTTGAGCTGATGTATATAAAGTTGCTTTTGTATACATTCAAAAAATGCTTGCGTTTTTTAAAAAATTAACTTTGATCAAAAATTTTTGAAATATATGTTGCTGCATACAATACTTTAAAGGTTACTTTAAAACATTAGAATTTTTTATTAAAAACTCAGATAATGAAAATTTTCTAGATATAGCTATTCAGGACATAGAAAATGAGGAGCATTTATGACAGGGCACAAACGAGAAAGAAAGCGCAGCAGTTTAGGAAAAAACTAACCTTAGTTCTCCAAGAAGAGTATAAACATATCAAGATTGACGTAATGTGCTGCGTTGTTCACACTTTACAGCTGGCTAATTGTGATGCTTTAAAAGAAACATACACTAACCAACTTTTGGCAAAGGTCCGGTATATTGTAGAAAAACTAATAAAATCATAACATATTTAATAAAATCATAACATAAAAATTGTTAGAAGAGAATCAGATAAATGAGCAAAGAAGCTTTAAAATAAATAGCAGAAAATAACTAATAAAGGAGATGCAAAAAACATAACAGTAAGTCAGAAAATAAGAAAAACAGCTGAATCATCTACAGCACTTAATTCAGTTTTAAGTAAATTCAAACTTGTCTAATTTTCTGATGAAAAATTAGACAAGTTTGAAAAAAAGCTTGATAAAATGTGACCATAATTAATTTTATTAATAAAAGTATTTTTAATAAAAACTTTATGGACGACTGTAACAACTGGAAGAAAAGAAACGTTTAAAAGTGAAATCAGCTTTTGATGAAATTGAGGAATACCTAGAGTAGTCACTTCTGTCACTTTCTCACAAGAAAATATAGAGATACTATTTTCTGCACTTGTTTTAATGTCAAGCAATCTTCTTCGGCAGAACATTCGCAGATGCCATCACAATAGTTGGAGGTTATTTGGTATCTACACATCAAAGTCATCCGTTTCCACCAAATGGTATACCAGGTTGAGAATGGTATCAAGTTTCACAAAACAATTTTCATAATATAAGCATCAGAGTACCATGCAATATTTTGTCTCTCAAAGCTTTTTCTTGTACTGAGGACAAAATAAGAAGTTATTTTAATACACTTCAAAAACAATTTCTTAAAGCAAATATCAAAATAACATTTCAAAATTGGATTTTCAGTTGATCAAGGTAAACAGCATATAATTTGCAGGCTTGGTGCTAAATGCTGTTAAAATTTGGTAAATTTGGTTAACAAAAAAAAATCAATTACACAGTTGGTAATTGTGTCAATGCTACCAGTACCATTCTGCCACCATTCCTAGTTTACAAATCAATATCAGGTTTGTACAAAGACTGGTGTGTAGGGGGACCACCAAACACCATATTTAAAACATCTAAGTTGGTTTTTTTTTGTTTTTTTTATTCAATTCAGCTCCTCAAGGCAGAGAAGGCCACTATAGACAAGGAGGCTACTTATTTTGTGGTTATAACCCTCTCTCAACTCTATAACTCCGAAACACGAATCTTGATGAACAAGGCCGCTGCGCGGAGAAACGAGTTGAGCGTGGTACTACCAGGGACGTGGTGAGGATCGAACTCGGAACAACTCATTTATGAAGCGAGCGCTCTACCACTACACCACTACACTGGTTGGATGGAAGCAAAACAATTTATTTAATGGCTCACTAAAGTGTTCATACCAGCAAATAAGTTCTACTTAAATTAAGTAGTTTAATCAATTTTTTTCAAGATAATTTTTTTAACTACATTTATTCACATTTTAGTCTTAGATGGACAGGCCACACATGTTACTTATGATGTTCCACATATTTGCATTGGAAATAACATTAGGCTGATATGTTTACCAGCTTATTCATTCCACATACTTCAACCATGAGACATTGGTGTATATTGTCACATTAAACAAGTTTAACATAAATTACTTACAAAATTTTATTCAGCTACTAATTTTAACAATAAACAAAAGCTCAAAACCTCATATAACAATGAGGTCAAAAGATTAAAGCAAGATTGACTTTATTGAAACTCAGCACATACAACATTCGAAAAAACTTAGACAAAACAAAGACAAGAAGAGGTACAAAAAGTGTTGCAGAGGGAAGAAGCATTGCTAGCTAAAAACAATATGTGCTACAAATGTGAAGCTTTTAGTCATAAAATATTTTAGTAATACAAAAAAGATTTTTTGCATGAAAAAATGCTGCTGACCTGCTTCTGATTATGAAACTCAAATTGATTTATTTAATAAAAAGGTTTTTTGTATATTTGATTAAAATTTTTTTTTTGTAAACTTAACTTCTATTAAGATTATTTTTTATTTTATTTTTTAAGAAATTTAGCTTGATTTTCTCAGTATCTTAATCAGTTGTTATTAAATAATACAACAGTGGTGTAGTGGTAGAGCGCTCACCTCATAAGCAAGAAGTTCTGAGTAGCACAGCGTCATTGTTGGTCAAGGTTTGTGTTTCGGAGTTAAAGAGTTAGGAGAGGGTTGTAACCACAACTAAAGCAGCCTCCTGTCTACTTCCTGGCTACTTAATTTTAGACTGTAGTGCCCTTCATGACCTTAAGGAATTGTAACAAAAATTTTTATTAAAATTTGATTTTTACTTTTCCTCAATTATAAGAAAACTAATTTTTTTTTTTTTTTTACAAAACTCAATTTTTTTTTTTTTGATTTTCTTAATTTAAATATTACTAATATAAAAACTTACTAATGTAAAAAATTTTCTATAACAAAAACAAAAAAAAAACCTAAAATATTTTTATTTTGATAAAATAATTTAATTTGAAGATAAACCATTTACTCTTACCCCAGTTTACACTATTCATATAAATGTTTAAAATTTTATAAATTAATTCATAAGTTATTAATTAAGTTAAATTAATTAATTCATATGCTAAAGCTTCTAATTGTAATTATCCTAATTACAACTAGTTAAACTGTTTAATAATGTAAGACACAAATTGATAATTGATTAAACCAATTATTCATGTTTAATTTTCTATTCAATCAGGGTTTCTTTTAAAAATTAATAAATTAATTATCAAATAACAAATTATTAATGACTTGAACCAAGAAAGGTTTAGACTTTTATTTTTGCAAAAACAATGTTTACAAAAAATTATTGCAAACACATTAAGGTTTTAAAGAAAAAATAAAACAGTCCAAAAAAACTCGACTTATAAAAAGCTTTATAGGAACCTTATTAGGAGCAAACCTCAACCAGCGGAATTGAGTAAAAATTTATATAGGTTACAGCTATTATGTACTTTATAAATAGATCAATTAAATTAGTTCAGCTAAAAAAAACAAGTACAATAATAAAATCTAATAATAATAGCATATTAGAATTGTAAAATTGTTACCATAGTAATGGTAACAATTTCTAACGAAACAAAAGATGAAGTAAAAAATATACTTTAGCAAAATTTGATTCTCTAGCTTACAGATCACCAGCTTGGCAGGTCAGCATTTAATCTAATTGAGTTATAAATGTTTAATGTTAATTAGTTTTGATTTTATAATATATCAATGAAAGTTGAAATCTGAAGCATATCTAGTTACTATTGGTTTACTTGATGAATCTTAAGCCAATCATGTTACAGAATTTTTTACTCACACTCATTCTTTTGAAAAATTATTCTTTATATTTTATTTAAGAAAAAAAATTGCTTTCATAGTTAAAATAATTTTCTATTAATTGTTGTATAACCAAGAATCATTTAAGTGTATATAACGTAACATTGTGGTCTCTTAATCTCTATACTAGAATAAATCAATCAATACACATTGGTCCAGAAAAGTCACTTTTGAGGCAAAAGTCATATCATATCTTCACTATCTATAAAGCTAAAAAGCAGAAATTTTGGTGAATAGTCATTATACCCTGGCCTAAAATAATTATTATTTTAATGTCCTTTATTATACCTCTCTCACCAATGACACAAAACCAAGGACAAATAACATAACAAGTAATAAACATTTGACATATTTTATACCTAATTTTTAATGATCTATTGATTTGATATTGATTATAAATAAAGACCAGCATGAATGATGTATTTTTGCTCAATTGAATAAATACATGTGCAAAACACCAAGAAAACACAACATAATAAAACTTACATTAAACATACTTACTTTAACAGACTTATTTTCCAAATAATTTTTAACTAAATATTCTCTGGAGAACATATGGTACAATTATGATATCTTTATAGATTGCATAAACATATAGAGTAACACAGTAAGACAATACCAAGGACCTTAGGGTCTTTGGTATTGTTTTAGGGGTAAGCACAACACATAATATTGTATTCCAAATATTTAAAGTAATTTACTTTCTAAAATACATGGTATATTCATAAACTTTAGTGAATAGCATAATAAATTCTAATACATTATGTCAAATAGCATGTTACATGTTTATTGTATTTAATCTATATATTCTTAGATCTATATTATAAAATTTATTTTCATACTACATGTGAGACAAAGGTACAAATTTTTTGTAATAACCTAAACACAAATAGCCTGTGCATATGGTAACAATTTTCTTGAACATTTATATTTTTAAAATAATTTTACTAAACTATGATTTTTAAAAATATATAATTATGTAAAATATAATGAAGTCTTTTTAAAAAAGCATTAAAAAATGTGTCACATGTCTCTACTTAAAAAAAATATTTTCCTGAGTTTCTTCAGATTAGAGGCCAATCAGAACCAACAACCTGGTGTAAAAAGGCAATCATCTTTTAAACTTCAGCAGACATAGGATAAAATTGAAAACTAAAATATCTCTGAAAGATATATCTACTTTAAGTTCATTTGGCTCAATAGGATGCATACAGGACAACTCATAAAAAATAATGAAGAATCTTTTAAAAATACCTTTATCAACTCTAAGTCAGCAAAGATTTTGTGCCTTTTGAACGTCCTTTAATCTAGAGTATTCTGCTATTCATTTTCCAGCTACAAATTTTATATGACCAGCTTGCATTGCTTATTTATTGGCACCTGTTACAATGTTTCTTGCTTAGGAAAATAAACGCTGAATCTTTTTGACTATACTTACAGGTCTTGCTTGTGACTCCTTAATAGTGGCTATGCAACACTTTCTGTTGTCTCCTAAAGAAAATATAGCTACTAAACTCAATTTAATGGTTCCAAGGCCGGCTTGCAGTATGGTTTCTTGAACTTTGTGATTCTATCAAGAGCTGTAATTCTCAGACCTATTTGCTTTTGTGAGATAATTTCAATTTCTGTTTCATCTTTGTTTGTTGATAGGTATCCCTTAATTCGCTATTTATTGTGAACCTATTTATTGTTAAAACAGGTTTAAATATCTGACTATTCTATTTTATAATGTACCTCTAAAATCTGATTATTCTATTCTATAAACCCTCTAAACCCAATAGCATTCCTTCAAAAATAATGACCTTAGTATCTCAAGCTTCCTCTTGAGTATTATAATAAATCAATCTTTTCAATCAGGGATATTTCCTGACTTATTCAAAATAGCAGAAATTGTTCCAATTTTTAAAACCGGCTGTAAACAAGATCCTTGTAACTAATGGCCTATATTCTTTCTCTCAAATGTAGGTAAACTAATTGAAAAGCTTATGTATAACAGGCTACTCAGTTTTTTAAATCTATCAGATAGCTTATATAGTCTGCAATTTGGATTCCGAAAGAAACACTCCAATAAACAAGCACTCATAGATATAACTGAAACCATACACGAGGCTTTAGATCATAAACAGTTTGCTGGTGGAGTGTTGATTTGCAAAAGGCATTTGATACTGTCAACCATGAAATTCTATTATCAAAGCTGTATCATTATGGTGTAAGGGGAATTGCTCTGAACTGGTTTAAGTCATATCTAAACCATCGCCCACAAAGTGTTACTATTGGTAATATCTCATCCATTACTAAGTTTATGTCTATAGGTGTTCCTCAGGGTTCAACTCTGGGTCCCCTTCTTTTCCTTATCTACATAAATGATTTAAAGACTTGTAATAAGTACTCAAAAGTGTATCATTTTGCTGATGACATTAACCTTCTGATTGTAGATAAGTCTTTAAAAAAGCTAAATAAGTACCTAAATTATGACTTGGCATCACTGGTCCAATGGTTCGATCAAACAAAATATCTCTAAATGTCAAAAAAACTTTGAAAACCTTTTGTTCATTCAACAAATTAAACTCATAGCAAACAAACTAAGTCAAGCAAATGGAATGCTTACCAAAATAAAGCATTTTGTGAATTGTAAAACCCTTGTGAATATTTGGCATGCTATTTTTAACTCCCATCTACGCTATGGTTGTTAGATATGGGGACAAACTTCATCCATTTATAAAAAAAACATTATAAATCTCCAGAATAAATCATTAAGAATAATCATTAAGAATAATATTTTTTTAGTTTCAACAGGAAGAGAGTTCCAACAGTGAATTATTGATACTTGATTGATTTTATGCCATACTTATGTGTTAGTTTTAAAGACTACAATAATAGACCTAAGATTATAACTATGAATATCGTTTGTGAATTTAAAATAACAGAAGCAGATAAGTGAAGCAGCATATTATTATGGACAATGTCCCATACAAGTGCACAGTTTGATAAGTAGATAAGTTCATCAAGCTTTAAAATTTTAGACAGATTATATAGTAGGTCAGAACTAAAACGGTTAGGTTGAAAGTGAATTATTCTTAATGATTTATTCTGGAGATTTATAATGTTTTTTTTTTGACAAATTGAAATGCCTTTATAACCCATGTAAAAAAATTTCTCCTCAATACAGATAATCAATGAAATATCATTTAAGTAATCACCTTCTATTTATTCTTTATAACTGAATTTTTACACATTTAAGTAATCACCTTCTATAACTAAATTTTTAACAAAATAAAAGTATAAAACTCATAAATAAATATATAAAACCCATAAAACAGAAATAAAAATATAAAACTCATAAAATAAAAATAAAAATATAAAACTCTAAAAATGAAAATAAAAATACAAAAATCCTAAAAGTAAAACATAAAAATGTTCATCTAGTCGCAATCAAATATCTCTTCATCATCCTATATAGTGTATATGGCTCTAAAAAATTGTGGCATTGTTATTAAACCATCTAACATGTAATAAATATACAATAAATTATTTCCTATGCAATTGTCCCTGCTTAATTCTCTTCAACTATTTTTTTTTCTAATTTTCTTTATTTTACTTTATTGCATATTCAATATTTCTACCTTCTTCTAACTTTTGTATGTTCATGCTAATGTCAAATGAGAATGTTTTGTAAAGAACTGCGGTGATAAGAGCTTGGGGACAAAAAAAAAACAATTTTTGGGCTCACCCAGCCCTTAATGTGGGAGCAACAAGTTGATAAAATAATTTCTTTTGTATTTTTATCAAAGTTTATATTCATAAACAAATTTCAAATTTCATCCAATAATTTCTTATTTTTCGAAAATTATGACCATATAAAGTTTTAAGCTCCCTCAATTTGAGGGGGCTGTAAACTTTGTAGGGTCATAAAAACTAAAAACTAAGAGGTTATTGCATGAAATTTGAAATTTGTTGATGAATATAAACTTAAATAAAAATACTAAAGAAATTATTTTATAAACTTGTTGCTCCCACGTTAAGGACTGGGTGGGCCCAAAAATTGGGTTTTTTTTGTCCCCAAGCTCCAATCACCACAACTCTTTGCAAAACATTCTCATTTGAGATAAGTATATAGTATACAAAAGATAAAATAGTATACAAAAGTTTGGAGTTTGCACAATGTGTGTAAGTGTCAAAACTCAAACATCTAAAAATCCAGTGTACACCACTTTAAACCCACTTTCTTTTTGTAGTTATTGTTCTCATTTTTATCCAGACAACACTCAATTTAATGTCAAACTGAATTTTCTTATTATCCCTCACCCATTATTGTTGTTATTGGTGACTCTACCATATGAGATTTAAAATTTTAGATTATTGAAAAAATATACTTTAAAACTATGTGAATTAAAATGGAAACACTTTAAAGTATATATTTATTAATAAATTTTTATAATACATGTATTTAGAATAGTCTAGTCAATAATACTTCTATTGACCTCAATCACAACCTCAATTCTGGATTAAGTGTTTATAATGTAGGTATCTGATTTTTCATTTTATACATTGATAACAGATTTCTTCAGATGTCAATGTTGCTGTGTTTGCATTTACAAGCCTTTGTTTGAACTTTATAGAGTAAGGTCTAGTGAGCTAGTTTTCCAGATATTTTTTGATCAGAACATCTTCTCATACAACTATTTCTGCATTCAGACATCAAGGCAGGACCTTATAGCATATTTCAGGATTTTTTTCAGGTACTATTTTGTCTCTATTTTAAACTCTTTTTCTAAAAAAGACAGGTGGCATTTTGATTTTCTTTTTAGGATTCTGTTAATTCTCAAATCAAATAAAGGTTTCTTGCAGTGTTACAAAAGTAAAAACTTTACCCACTGTAACGAGGTGTTTTTTTTTAAACTATTATGCTATACATGCAGTAGAACTTTCTTTAATGTCAGAAAGACTTGCATTATAAATATAAGTTTGTTTAACATCTTCAAATTAAACATACTTTATCTTCAACAATGATGTAACATTTACATGTGTGAGCTTTTTTATTTTTACTTTTACTGATTGTATAGGTATACAGTAAATAATGCTAAACACAAAAAAAAGTGAGAATATTGATAAATTTACTCCATTTAGGGACAGTTTACTCTATATAAAAATTATTTCCCACAGATAGTGCAAACTCTGAGGTTTTAAGTGATTTAGGGATAATTTACTCTATAAAAACTTTAATATATAGATTAAATTTACTCTGTATAAGGAGTATTACAATTAAATTATTACCTCATCCATCAGGCTAGGTCTAAAATATTGCACAAAAATTTAAGAAAAAAATTGTGCAAAAACTTAATGATAAAAGTTTTATATTTTGTAAATTATTACCTGAACATCAACTACATAAAATGATCCACTTTTATTTTCTTTAGAAAATACCTGAATAAAATAAAACCAATATATAAGTAGTAATAAAAAGATTGTAAAAAAAAATTAGTCATTCTACCTGTTTACATTCGGTAAATGATTGCTTAGGTCCAATGCTATAATTTAATGGAACTGTATAATTTAATATTTGTACTTTGAAGCCACTTTCTTCATTTTGAGTATACTTCCAATCTATATTTTCAAATAACATTTACGATTTAAAATAAAAAATTTATTACAAATAAATAATTATAAAATTAATACAGTAATATTTCTAAATTTTATAAACTTATTTATAAACATGTAAATATAACCAATATTAAACATATAAAAAAATAAAAAAACCAAAAATAAAAATTATAATTTTTATTAATTTTTATTGTTTTAAATAATATAAAATTTATTTGTAATTTTACTTTATTACTACAATTTTATAATTTTGTTTTTTATTTTTTTAATTAATTTAGATAATTAAATTTAGTTTTTTTTTATTACTATAACTAATAAGTTAGATCAGTAATAAGACAGGAAACTGAAAACGGAACATAATTTATATCTGATAAGAAAAGTGAAGTTAAAAAAAAGTATTTGTTGAAAATTATGGATTGCATTTATTCTAACAACAAGAAATAGCTTTTAAAGTTAATGCTGGTGATAATAAACAAAATTGCTTGAATCTGACCAACATAAATATTTAAACAATTTTATCCAAAATGAGTTGATAGATTTAATGACAAAACAGGTTTTTTTAACAACACTTGAGTTTGAAAAAAATATCTGCTTTTGATATTGTATTTTCAACAACAATTGAGTTGGAAAAAATTAGTTTTAATTTTTTCAAACTTTAGATAGATTGATAAAGCATATAAAGCTCAGAAAGATCGATAAAGCGTTTAAAGCTCACAATTTCCTTAAATACTATGAACTCCAAGATACAAAGTATGACACTACAATAATGTAGTAAACAAGCAGGGATTATTTGACTGAGTTGCCTTTTGTTATTGTGCTCGCTATTTCCTAACTCCTAATTCTACTTCTTAAGTCTACTTCTACAAACATTTTATTCATCCCTGTATGAAATTTTGTTGCCATATTTGGGCTAGTTCTTCTAATGAGGTCCTATCTTTTTATAAACAAGTTTTTAAAACTGGATTGTGAATGTTGTTAGACCTACTCTAGCTGAGGTGATAGCTCATTAAGGTTCTTAATGAGCTATCGTCTCTAGCTTCATCAACAGAAATTCATTCTCACTTGACTTGTCATTCAACAAACTATTCAGTGTTTGGTTCAGAAAGGCTATCGTGTTTATTTTCAACTAATCCTCCACCCACAGAGCTTTTTCTTTTTGATAATTAATTTGTTTCCTAAACAGCAAAAAAAAATCTGTTGCAATTTTAGACTTAAAAAAAAAACTTTTGGCTTACTGATTGTATAAGTATACACCTATAGTAATCTATAGTTCCCCACTGATAGAGTTTTCAGATGAAAAATCATAAAAAAATCTAGCTATCCCTTCCTTATCCATTTAAGAAATACTATTTTAAGTTTTTTCTAACACATGATTTTTAATCTTTACCTGAAACAATTAAAAAACTGAATCTTTTTAATAAATACAACTATTAAAAGTTAAATAAAAATGAATTTAACTGACTATCTATTATTAAGTTAAATTAAACAATATTATAACTTAACTTATAATTTGTTGCTTTAACTGTCAAGCACAAGACTTTTTCCATCATCCTAAGGTTGCATCTCCTCCTCTTAACTTCTAATGCTATAATGATTTTTGCTTAAGCAAACATCACATATTCTATCAAAGAAAGTTTATTGTTGTGTGACTCATCATTCAGCAAAACCTCAAAAACTTTTTATCTAATTTTTAATTTTTAAAACGTTTCTCGACTCATACTATTTCTAGTTTTTTAGATTTTCTCTTAACCACTTTCTCGTAGCATTCTTTTTGTAACAGATATGCGCATACTAAATTCTTTGTATAATTTTCATGGTCTTGTTTTAAATGCTTCTATAGGTTAAACAAAGTTTAAATCTGTTTTCTAAAATGAATATTTTTTTATTTTTTTTTATATTCTTTCTGTTTGCATTTCCAAAATAGTTCAATTTTACTACTAACTACCAAATTTTTGAAAGTCATTTTTAAATTGAAGCAAAATTAGCAACTTTTTTCTTAGTTAGTAACACTTAAGTGATACAAACTTAAATCATCATTGACATGATGAATTTTCTGTATTCCCAGTGTTTCTTTGACTTCTAAGCAAAGTATTTTTGTTGTCTATTTTACTACTGATTTCATCATTGCTAATGTAAAGAATAGCAGTATACATCATTAATGATTACTGAACATTGTAAAAATATAGAGACATCATTTGTTCAAACACTTTCTCACTCTTGCTTATACATTTCATTTAGACAAGAGGCAATAAAAATGATTGTTCAGATTCTGCTTTCAAATTCAACACCAGATCCACAAAATCAATGTTTTAAAACACTCATCTACAAAAAATTATCAGCCATTTGCATAATGACGTAACCTAACCTAGTGCTAACTTCTTATTTTATCCAAATAAATTCAATCTCTTGTCAATATATTACTTCCAAATATTGTAATATTATTTTTTGTAAACTCAAATTAATGTTTATAAGTAATAACAATAAAAGATTGCATAATTAAAAAAATTAAAATTTTCGTTGCTATGGTCCTTAAATATCTTCTAAAATACATTTTTATTTCTCTAAGATATTAATAAAAAAAACTTGAGGACTTTTAAGAGAGATTAAATAGGTGTTTGAGTTAGTTTAAAATGTTTTTTTCATGATTTTTTTCAACAAATTGTGCCTTATCTCTTAATTGCAAACTAGATATTTTTGTCTTATAGGTGTTTTAAACATAAATAAAATAAAATTTACTTATTGCATTATTTAAAACATGTTTACATACTGAATTGTATAATAGAAAAAAAAGGTTTAAACTGTGCAAATAACAATTGTAAACAATACTAAGTATCTGAATCTTTATTACAGCATTTAATTTTGAGGTTAATGGTTCCACAATTTGTATGATTTGCAAGTTTCCAAAACACTATTTTATTATTCAGATATGATATGGGAACTTCTAAGCAACTTATTATAACTGAACATTAACCTTTATGACATTACCGGTTTTTGAGATTAGGAAGGAGTATTTTTATTGTGATATTACCACTAAGAAGATTACAAACTCCAAGGTTTACAAGTTCCTCCTACAACAGTCATAATTCAATTGGGGGTCTTATTTCAGAGTTTTCTTCTTCTAGATAAGCTGTCTTCTTGAACAATAGGGAGCTTCACCTGCCAGAATCTCTGCAACACAATTTGATATAGTAAAATAAACAACTATTAAATCAAAAATAATAAAACCTTTATAATTTTTTTGCTGGAAAAGATCTTTCATGATATCTGAATCTTGAGAAAACAAATCATTGAAAAGAATATCAACATCAAAATCCAATATCTAAAAAATATTTTTTTCTATTCAATAAGTATATATATATATATATATATAATATATATATATATATATATATATATATATATATATATATATATATATATATATATATATATATATATACTTATTGAATTATATATATACTTATTGAATTATATATATATACAGGGCTTGAAGTGGGGCAGGATGCAACAGGATGCTATTCCGCCACCTTTTTAAAATGTAAAAATCATCCCACCCCTTTTTTATAAATCTCTATATGTAACAATGGTTAGGCGGAATGGTATTTTTAATTCACAGAATACCATCCTGTTTTCTCCGCTTCGAGCACTATATATATATATATATATATATACATATATATATATATATATATATATATATATATATATATATATATATATATATATATATATATATATATATATATATATAATATATATATATATATATATATATATACATACATATATATATATATATATATGTATATATATATATATATATATATATATATATATATATATATATATATATATATATATATATATATATATATATATATATATATATATATATATATATATATATATATATATATATATATAATCCAATAAATCTGCATGAGAAAAAAGCAGATTTTAGCAGATGCCTGTTTGGCAACAATGAACTTGTCATATTGATTTTGGAATTCATTGACACTTCTTGAATCAATAACTTGCTGAAATTTATTGATTCAAGAAGTGTCAATGAATTCAAAAATGAGAAAAAAAGGGGACTAATTCCATAAGGGTTCTTTACAGTTGAAACAATTCTTGTGAATTGTTTTGACAGTCTTAATTTAGAGCCTCTAGTATTACTTGCATGCCCACGTGCTAATAGGGAATGTGGTCCTTTTTCCCTTCTTTGTTTTAGAGTTTGTAAATTAAGCTAAGTTAGATGTATCTAAACAATTTAAACTTCTTATTGCTGGCACAAGTTTAGTTGTTCTTTTCTGGAGCCTTAATGTCTTTTTTTTGAAAAGGATTCCAAACAGATGCATAGTATTCCAAATGAGATTGAACAAAAGTAGTAAACAATCTAACAAAAATAGTTCTTGTCTAAGATTTGAATGTTCGCTTAAACATGGCTAGGATGATATTTGCTTTATTTATTACATGTCTGATGTAATAACTCTATTTTATTTTATTGTTAAAAAATACACCAAGATTTCTCTTACTTTTTGTGTTTAAAGGTCAATCCTTTGAAACTTTACCTTAAAATTTAAACCAGATTTTTGTGAGCTACTTAGGTATGTGTATTTTTAAGCTCAAATCATTTTCTTTATGGTAACTGGTGTAGATGGGCTATTTTAAAAATTAGGGTATTATGGCCACTTACTATTTGGTTGATAAATTTGTCAATTTAAAAAAAAAAAAAAAAAAAAAACAGTTGCAATATACAACTGATTTCAAATAAAAAATATTCACATTCAAACCAAAAAAAGATTACACACACAGTAACTACCCTGTAGAGCTAGTGAACAAGACTATGAAGGCCATTGCTGCTGGTATTCTAGTTAAAAGGGTCTCTGAGACCAACAAAGTTTCCAGATTATCTCTTAAAAATCATCTATGTTGTAAGACTAAAAATATGCAGACACCTTGTCATTACACAAAATTAAAAATTGACAAAGCACTTCATCACCAGGATGAAAAGCTTTGTATCCTTCATAAACAAAAGTGAACTTCTCTGGAGAAAAGAGTAGGCTTACAGAATTTTTAAAAGGCACCACAACCTAATTTTACAGAGAATCAGTCAGAACATTTTAAAGAGCTGTGCAGCTGTAAATGAAGAAAAGCTTGTTGTTTATTTTCAACAATGTGCATAACCTGATCAAGGACATTGTCCTTCTAATGTAATGAACTATGATACGAAAAAATGCCGGCTCCAAGAAATTTTCATTTTCACATGCTTAATTCTGGAATAAAGTTCACAAACTTATAGCTCTTATCAATTTTATTGCATTTTATTGGATAATCTAGTTTTGCAATTTGCAACTTTCATTATTTTCTAAAATATAAAATTGCAATTTTTTTCATGGATGATTTTCACATATAATATAATGTGCATCTTGTAAGTGTAGTTCTTGAATAAAATCTACAAATTTATAGCTCTTGTGTTTAGCAAATTATTAAAAAAAAACTGTCAGAATTTGGTCATATTACCCCATCTGAAGATATATATATAAATATATATATATATATATATATATATATATATATATATATATATATATATATATATATATATATATATATATATATATATATATATATATATATATATATATATATATATATATATATATATATATATATATAGGCGCTGGAAGTGTTTAAAAAATGGGGGGGGGCAGAAATGGGTGGGGCTTGGGGAGGGGTACACCTCCCTGATGGGTGTTTGGGGGGGCGTTATCCCACTAAAATTATTTTAGGCATAATTAACCCAGCTATATGCAGATTTGCAATCCTTTTAAATCATTATATTTAAATATTTGGTACAAAACAAAATCTACCAAAAACAATTACAGTTACAGTAAAAAATGCCCAAATAAGAGTTAACGTTCACAGGTTTTAGCCACAAACTTCTCCATGAGTGCTGTAATGTCAACCTTGTCTAGGTAATCTTTGTTAATGTATATTAAAGTGAGGTGAGTGAAGTGACTCTGTGACATTGTTGACCCCAGCCAAGTATTAAGCCGTCTCAATGCACTGAATGACCTTTCAGAACTAGCTATGGATATTGGAACAGATAAACACAACACAGCTACCTGTTCCACCATGTCAAATAACCTGCAGGTACTTGGTTCAAGGTCTTTTAAAGCTGCTGCTAGCTGGTGTAAATCTTTAGGCAGTGAGTTGTCCTTAAACAACTGTGGAAGCAGTTGCAAGTGTAAATGCAACAAAGGAACATCGACATTATTTAGCAAACTTTGCAGTGGCATGCTAGCTAGTGTGGCTGCATTACTTGTGGATATGCATGAACCTATCAAAATAGATTTTGTGCTTGCAATTTTATGCAATCCTTCTTGGTTAAAACAAAGTTCTTTCAAAAAAAATACTTTTGCATTCTTTTGAATGCAAAAGTTTTATTTCTTCGGAGTACATAAAATTATCACTATTTTGAATCGCGGATAGTGAGATTTTAGAGGGGAGGGGGACAGAAGATATCCTCTGCCCCCGGTGCAGAAATGTTGGGTGGACATCCTGCCCCCATTGTTCTGACGCCTTTGTATATATATATATATATATATATATATATATATATATATATATATATATATATATATATATATATATATATATATATATATATATATATATATGTATGTATATATATATATATATATATATAAAATTTAAGTAACATCTTTAATAGTATGTGTAATTATAAGCATTAAAACATCATATACGGTATCATACTATTTATTTCTTTTCTCTATAAGTGATATTTCGGCTCATATAGTAAGCCGTTTAAAAAATTATAATAAACGTAAACAAATGATGTGATTGGCGTAAACAAATGATGTCATCTTATAGAGATTGTATGATGCCGTATATGATGTTTTAATGCTTATATATATATATATATATATATATATATATATATATATATATATATATATATATATATATATATATATATATATATATATATATATATATATATATATATATATATATATATATATATATATATATATATATATATATATATATATATATATTATATATATATATATATATATATATATATATATATATATATATATATATATATATTGTAATTATGTTTTAAATTTTAACACGAGCATTTCTTAGCGGTACTCGACGACAAGACCGTATGGTCTTCTACGAGTCCCCGCGTTCTTTTATTTTCTAATAACGACCATTATATTTATATATAAATTTATTATTATATATTTGTATTTGAAATATTGTAACGAAATGCTTATTTTACATGTAATAAAAGAACAAAAAAAAAAATATATATATATATATATATATATATATATATATATATATATATATATATATATATATATATATATATATATATATATATATATATATATATATCATACATATTATACTGCTGGAAAAAAGTAAAGTGTATATAAAGTAGCTCTATAGAATTTGTTTTAATTTTTTTTTTTTTTAATTTTTTCAAATTTAACTTATTTTCCGCAAAAATTTTAAAAATTTAGATAATCTGTAAATCGATGTTCACTAACAATTTCCCAATTGCTCATGTCTGTCCAATGACTTTAATTAATTTATACCATTTATTTTTATTAAAAATACATTTATTTCTATTTTTTAATTTTTAATTCGAAAAAAAATTTATTTTTATTTTTTAATCTTCCGCTATCATGTTTAAAATGTAAATGATAGAATCAAAAACCTACTCAGATGTTTGAAGTTTTGTGTAAATTAATGACCAGAATATACCAAAAAAAGTGTTGACCTTGATTTTTAAACACTTTTTAATACAAATTATTTTTTTAACTTATTGCCTGCCCAAACCGAAACCCTTAGTGGATATATGTACACATTGTGCATGTTCTTCCTATTTAGTCAGTCGATGTATGTTCACTCCCTGCCTGTTTTCCATGTATAAGTCAGACTATGTGTGCACACTTCCTAATTTTTATAATAAATAAAGTTTTATAAACAGCTTAACATTTTATTGACAAAAATCATAGACATGACGCATGACAACAATCATAGACATAACGCATAAAACTTGAGCTAAAAACTTTAAAATATAGTATAAAAGTACACACAAAAACATTTGCGCTCAAAAGGAATCGATCCCGCGACGCCATGCAACAAGGCAAAGTTATTTCCCACCAAGACTACTAACTAATTACTCATCTTCAAGTAAATTACAAATATATACTTAGTTTTTTACGCTACGCAATTATTTAAAACAATAATATATATTTTCAGGTCATCAATTCACACAAAACTTTAAACGTCTGAATAGGTTTTTGATTCTATCATCTACCTGTTTAAAACAATAATGCTTTCAATCAATTAATTCTTCAAATTGAATAATGCAAATTAAAAACCCGCAATTTTAATTTTACTGACTCCATTTGAATTTTTTAAATTATTATAAATATTTATCTATAGTTTCATTTCTGAGCTACGTCTCTCAGATAACGAAGTTTATTTATTCATTATATTTGAATGCGCTACTTTCAAGTTATTGAGCGGGCAATACTCTTTTCTCAAATTGTCACGAGTTTTTATAAAAACGTTCTCTATTATTAAATATTGATTGATGGATTCTTTTAAAAAGTTATTTCTCTATAAATCTATTCTGATATTATTAAATCGACGTCTAAAATTATGTAGTATTTTTTATAAGATTTGTTTCAAAAGTTTTGTTTGGGGTTATTTGACAGATATCAAAACATTTATTACAATAGAAATAATAATGATTATTAATTGAACTAAAGCAATTGATAAATTATAACAAAAATAAATTAAATATTAAATTAGCCAGTTTTTAAGTGAGACAAAACTTAAAAAACAGGCAAAAAAAAATTTATCGAGAATTGTTACAAAACACTCGCATTTAACAACGTTTTATATCTATTTCAAATGCCAAATAAACATTTTAGTCTAGCTTTAATCAAAACTAGCAGTAAGCAACCCGTAATACGTGTTGTTAGTAAATAAAATTAAAAAAAAAACCGCGTATAGAAAAGCCTAGAAACTACTTTAAGATAGAAAAGCCTAGAAAATGACGTAGTTCGACTAATATTAAATTAGCGTATTAATATTATCAGATAAACATTTTAGTCTAGCTTTAATCGAAATTAGCGTTACACTTGCCGTTCTTTTTTTAAAGTTAATTGTTAAGTTAAAGTTAATTAAATTAAATTGTTAATTAAATTAAATTGTTAATTAAATTAAATTGTTAATTAAATTAAATTGTTAATTAAATTAAATTGTTAATTAAATTAAATTGTTAATTAAATTAAATTGTTAAGTTAAAATTAATTGTTAAGTTAAAGTTAATTAAAGTTAAGTTTTTAAAGTAAATTGAAATTAGTTTTTAGGTTTTTTAAGCTTTTTAGTTTTTAATTTTTTTTTTCTTAATTGTTTACCTAAATCAGGCGAATACGAGAACATTTTTTGAGGGTATTTTGTTTCAATTTGTAAGTCGCGTATTGTCTGCCTGAAACCAAAGTTTTTTTTTAGTTAAGTTTTTTTGTTTTAAGTTCGAGACTAATTGCAAACGGTCGATACAAAATTTATCACAGTTCTATTTTGGTAAATTATATGAATTGTCTGAAAATTTATTTAATTTGTCTAAGTTGAGCAAATTATCAGACAATTGTTACAATTTGTATCCATAATTTGTAAAATGTGATTTAAATCTTTATTCTAACAAATTATATGCATGTGTATTACATATGTATACAATTTGTTAAAATATTGGTTTAAAAAATTAAAATAAGCTTACTTAAAAAGTACAAACCAAAAACTTCATGTTTCAAAATGAAAAAAAAAGGATTTGTTTAGAAAATAGAATTTAAATCTGTTTCTCTTTTCAATAGAAATAAAAAGTTTATCTTTATAGAGAAATCGGGTTGGCGTATTTATAGTTTTTTTTAGTTTTTTTGGAATTAAAACCTGTAGAGACACGTGTTTGTCCAGATCCAGGCGTAAACCAAAAACACGTCTATTTGCCTGGTACTCAAAATTTATTCGACTCTATCACGTCTAAATTTTAAAGTCAAATTTAAATGTAGCGTGTTTTTATAACTAATATCACATTCTTTACGAAAATTTGATATAATATAGTATTACGTTTACGTAACGTTGAAACTATTAATATTTTAACTGGTGTTTATAGTAAACACTAATTGTTAATTTCACAGAATAGAAGTCATTCTTGGCACGTGTCATTCTTTTTGTTTTAGAAGGTTTTAAATACGCTACAGAAACCAAGCGTAACTTTTTTCTGAGTTGTGCCGGCTGGGATTGTCAATTAATTCAACAGATCAAAACCCTTGTTGACTCCGAATTAAACACGGTAATGGAATGGCTTTCTATAAAGATAGAGAGACTTCCTGGTAAAATGGTTTTTTCAAGATAAAAAATTGAAAAAGACTGAAGTTAACATCTCTGTAAGCGAAATTTGAAGACAAATACTGCTGACAGAGTTGTTTTTTGCACGCTAAAAATATTTATTTTTTTATTGGTGTGCAAAATGTACGCCAATAAAGTCTATTCCGGTAATGTTTTTATTTCTGTTATACGAGTTGGTATTAATGAAGGACAGAGAAAGATGATGTAAACTTTTAAATGAAATTTCTTCCGCATTGCTCTCAAACATGACCGTTAGATCTGCTCAAAGCACCTTTAATAACAAAACAAATAATAATTAAATAATATGAAAATTATATATATATATATATATATATATATATATATATATATATATATATATATATATATATATATATATATATATATATATGTATGTAAGTATTTAAATTTTCATTTTATTTCTATTTTTTTGGTTATTTAAGGTGCTTTGAGCAGCTCTAACGGTCATGTTTTAGAGCAAAACTAAAGAAATTTCATTTAAAAGTTCACATTATCTTTCACAATAGATTTTTCATCATGCTATTGAAAAATCTATTGTTCTAAGACATGACGTGTAAAGTTTTTGTTTTTTTTTTAATTATCTTTGTAGTAAATGCTACATAGATAATGTTTAAAAAAAAAAAACTTTATACGTCATGTAATCCATATTTTGTAAAATTTTATTATGCCATTAAGCTTAACAAAAAAGAATAATATAATAATAGATTATACTTAATTCTGTCGCCTCTAAATATTACAAGGATTTTATCAAGTCATCGAAATTTTATGAAATTTGTGAAGAAGTAACTATGGCTATTTTATCGATCGTTCACGCTAATATCGACAATAATTATATCATAATATAAAAGATAAAAAAATATTGACATATAACTATATAATAATAAAAAACCTCATTAGCAAACTCTTTCTCCAAATGAGAATTATTACATGGACATTGAACATCTATAAATAAATAAATAACATGTTTAGGTTTTTTATTGATAAAACATAAAGTTAAACAAAGTTCAAGAAATAAAAACAAAATAAATATAAAATAAAAACTGTACCGTTATTCTCTAGATCGGATGTATCTTTTTCTGCTTCTCGGTAATCTGTTAAAGATTCATCTGTCTGACCAATACTTATATTTGATAAAGTTGATGGTTTACGACATGATGGCATTCTACTGCGCTGCAGCTTTTTTTTTTTATTCTTGCGAAAAGCTAGAATCTTGGGCGTTTTATTCCATTTATCTTTGATGCTACTGTCCAAAACATTCTGTACCTTATTTTCGCTTGTTAGGCCAAAGATACAGTTATTGATAGAAGGCAACGTTGATGTTAATAGTGGATAAAACTCAGCGCTAGGCATTTTATCGCTATCTTTGATTTTGCCATTTGTCAACATATTATTAATATTGTTCTGGTTTGACTCATTCTAAAAAATCGAAATATAAAAAAAATCCTAATTGAACGTTATGAAGTATTTTTGGTCAAGTGTATTTATACCTCACTGCTATGCCTTGTTTGCAGAGTCATATTTTGATAGCTGAATTTGCAATTAACACTTGCTAGCACTTGCGTTTGTTAACAAAGAAAAAATAAGTACATATACGTACAATTTTTCATTTGTTTAAAACGAGTTTTCATTTATTGCAAAATTAATTACATTATAAAAGTAGTTAAAATAGACAGATTTGATAATTACATTTCAATGAAATATCTGTTAAGGAATCAAATGAGGAATAATTACTGAATTATTTTATTTTTTCAATTTTATTAATTTTTTTTTTTTTTTTACAAAAAAACTTTTATCTTAAATAAAACATAACAAAGAACTATCAAAAAATAAATTATTTTTTCCCGGTCTACTTGCTTTAGTTCAATTACAAAGTTTATATAAAATAACTATATTATTTACACTAACTAAAAAGTATTTTTGTAAACTGATTTTTCGAACCTAAGACTTGTAAGCTCTTTCTTTTTTTTTTTATTGACTCAGAATGCTTTAAAGGGGCTATCAACTTAAATACATGTTACGTTAGTATTAAACAAAATGTTAAAAAAAAATTTGGACACGTTTTTTTTAATTTTAAAAATAAATTATTCTACATAATATGGTCACGAAGGCCATATTCGATTTTGGGTTTTAAATTATAATGGTTTATAAACATTCAAGGCGATATACTTTCTTTACAGTTAAATATAAAACGTTTAGTTTGTAAATATTCAAAACTTACATTTCTTTAAGAAGTGGTGTTGAATTTAAAAAATGATTTACAAAATTAATTGCGAACTTTGTGTTTCTGATGTCGATAGAGAGATTTAAGTTTGATTTTAAGAGCGCTTATCAAACTATATTTGCATAATTTGCATAATTTATATGGCAATAATAAATGAATAATATAAAAATGTTATTGGTGTTTATTTAATATATTTCTAACGTTATATAGAACTTAATGCAATTTTCATCGAAGTATTATTAATTTGCTGTCTTGAAGATAAGTTTTCATCTTCCGTGTCTCAAAGAAATTTTCTAAAATTTTTTTTTTGGAATTGTATTGTCAATAAATAAGTCAGGGATGATGTTTTAATTTTTTTTTTTTTTTTTTTAGAGGTTGGATAAAAAAAGAATCCATTTTTTTCTTTTGGTATTTGAAGATAACCTATTTTTAAAAATCAATATTATTAAAAATAATAAACATTCTTTAATTAATCAGTCATATTATTAAAAAGTGTTTTTATGTCCGAATGTGACTAGGGGCCATCCATAAAGGACGTCATCCAAATAGGGGGGGGGGAGGGGGTCGAGTTAAAAAGGACAAAAAAGGACAAGGGGAGGGGGAGGTTGTCAGAAAAGGACGTCACTTAATAGATTTTTTATTTTAGTTTAAGTAACATGGAAAACTACGTAAACATGTGTTTTTAAGAAGATAATGTATGAGAATATTTTTAATTTTATTTTTCAAAGGTGTAGCAGCAGATTCAAACATCATTGCAAGATGAAATAAAATTTTTTGGAGTTAAAAATAGGGGGGGGGGGTCAGGATTTTATGACAACCTTTTCAAGGGGGGTATAGCGAAAAAAGACAACCGGTGACAAAGGAGGGGGGGAGGGGGTCAAAAATTGAATAAAAAATGTTGACGTCCTTTATGAATAGCCCCCTAGTTTAAATTTGTATCACCCGCAAAAATTATGGTTAAATTAGAAGTTTTGTAAAGATTAGTGTCTATATTAAAAATATTAAAATTTATGAATATTAAAAGTAAGCGTGGCTTAACTATGAATCCGTGGGGAAAATTACATGTTATATTTGTTAATAACTGCAACAAAGATTCCTTGTTTACGGTTTTGATAAATTAATTTTTTTATTTATATAACATTAATATAATTAGTTAAATTTAATTAATTGTTTACGGTTACTTTTTTTCTGATATCTTTTAGAAAGCTGGTAGAACTGAGATAGTATAATAGTTATGTTAATATGGTCATCTGTTTTAAAGATTGGAACTATTTTTGCTGTTTTCTGTTATCTGGAAAAGCAAATGTGATACAAAGTACAAAAATATTTTCACATCCACCCCTTCACCCGCCCACTAAAGATTATTGGATACGTATCCAATGTTTTTGTATTGTATTTTCGTATTGATGTTTAGCATAAATTTCTTTCATTATTTGCCAAACTTGAATTATGTTTATGTTTCAAAAGCAAGTCGGAATAGGGCATTTCCGTTTTTGTGCGTGATCTTTTATTTTTCTTTTTTTTTACAATTAAAAGCTGGGACTTAAAACAATATTTTTACTATTATGATTATCTTCAAGGATAATTATAACAAAAATATTTTTATCATAATTTAGGCTACTTGAATGTTTAAATATATAAATTTTGTTACTATATATTTTTTTTGTGATAATGTCGCAATTGTTTGAAAAATATACCATGATTTATAAATGCTATACTCCAGCTAGAAATTTTTGATTACTGCTATTTCTTATTGAAATTATATTAAATATGAGTTGTAGAGATATAATATTTCATTTAAAATACTCACAAGAAATTTATTTTCAGAAAAATAACTAGGAGCTCGACAAATTCACAATTTCCGTGCGTGACCTCTTTGCATGAACTGCATTTAAACGGTTGTTGTGACTCTACGATAACTAGTAAACGACGGGGGCTGGTATTTGACTGTGGCCAAGGATGGTTCTACGGACGGGACTGCATAAATATTGGTGCATATTAACTTATTTTTATATATCATATTAATAATTTATACAGCCCCAGCCATTAACCCGGCATTGGCCCAGGTCAAATACCAGCCCCGGTCGTTTACTAACGATAATTGCGCAACCCTGTAACTTTCTGGAAATCTTTACTAATATATAAAATATTATTTAATAAAAATTTATACTGCTTAAACTAAAAATTTACTAACGAATTAAAGTTTGTTTATTTAGTAAATATAATTTTCAATTTAATTTATTCTTTGATAACGTTAGAATTAAACGAGAGTAAATAGGAGATATATTATTATGAAAATAATATACAAAACAGTTTTTTTGAGTTTTTAAATTGATTTATATAGACTCTGTAGTTATTTTTATCTTCATCAGGTTTAATTTTTAGACATTTAAAAAAGAGTTTTTGCTTAACTTTTTTCTTTGGGAATTATTTAACTTAAAGTAAAATTTGCGTGGTCATTTTGTAAAAAATATTGAAAAAGAAATTGTATATAAAGTTTATATTGTTTTAAAATTTATATATAGCTCCAGTCTTAATATAAAAGTTACCTTTTAAATAAATTTAAGTTATAAACATATTTTATTGTTAAGTTTTCGTGGCTATTTGTTTTGCTTATGAAAAAAAAAAGAGCTTATGGGAAAATTTTTAGAAACATCAGTTTTTATAATGCCTTTTTTAAGCGCCATATTGAAAAGTTATTAGTAAGAACGTTGTTAATTAAGAGGATAAACGATTTTTTTTTTAAATTTTGTCACAATATAAGCATTTTGATACATAAACTTTAATTTATTTATAAATAAAAATATTTCTATATGTATAAATTTATAAATAATAAGATAAAGTTTAAGTTAATGAAAGGAGCAAGTAAAAGACCCTTTATTCTCTATTTTACAATAAGTTTTGATGTGAGATAAAAAAATGTTTAACAATATTCATAAATAAATAAAAAAACAACAAAAAAACCAATACAAAACAAAGGCGTATGCTTACGTTCTCTTAAATGAGTATAAAATAAAACTGTTTATATTATAATATAATAATTATTTGTTTATATTGTAATATAATAGTTATTTTATTGGTATTCATTGTGATGCCGAATATTTATATTGCTGTTATTAATTCAATCATCAAAAATAGGATTAAATGTTGACGTCAACATAAGGTTAATATGCTGACGGACTAAATTCCATAATTGCGGTCCTCGGGATATGATGGAAAAGTCAGTTTTTTTGAAAAAAAAAAACTAACTTTCAAAGTATTTTGGTAGTAAATCATTTTGCGATTAAAGCATTAATACTTTGATTTGATAGAGGTTCAATTTATAAATATTTGGAGCTTCAATCTTTCTGAATAATAGTTGGGCAAATCTGGGGGCATATCTATTTGTAACTCTAGTAGGTTTATCTATAATGGATACCGTTTCGAATAAATTATAATAAAATTTTGTAATGTTTTCTTTTAGTTATAGGAAACTATAATTAAAAACAATCTACAGAAAACAATCTAAATTAATCCCTTAGTATATATTTTTTTCTGGCTAGTTTTTTCTATTAAATTGTGTTAAATATTTGATTAAGTACTTCAGTTATGGCGGAGTCCAATAGCAGCAGCTTATTAGAATATTTTTAGATTTTTTGTTTATTATTTTAACCGTTATATTCTCGATACTTTCATAGGAAAAAAAAATTGGTTTATACTATTTAAACGTATAAAAATATAATTGTTTTGTAAACGTTTTCATCGCAGAATTTCACATATATGTCAAAATAAACTCGATATAAATATCATATTATATATTAATGAGCGACTTATTAATGTTCATTTCCAGCATGTTTGACACAGAACTCTTGGCAGACATTGCAACCAAGGTAATAGCGAAAACGAGTAAGAATACTTTTTTCTATAAGAAAATGTGAACGAAAGTGTATTGAAATATCTAGCTTATGTAAACTTCAAATAATGTAATGTTAAAACATATATCAAGTTTTATAGTTTTACTTTTACTTAAAAATTGATGACAACATCTTCTTAACTTTGATTTATAGTATTTAAACAGTGTTAAAACTTTTATAGAACTGGCTAAAGTGGTTAGCTCGCAGCTATCAAAATCATGCATGTCAATCAAGAGAAAACAAACTATTTTATAAATTTTTTATAAGTTTCACGTATGCGGTAAAAGTGCGTAAAAACATTTTTTTTTTTTGCTCATAAAGTAATTTTTTTTATGAACTCTTCTTCGAATACTGAAGTATATAAGGAATAAATATAGAAACAATCGGCTTAGTGAAGTCCCGTTTTTTAACGGGTCTGCTCAGCAAGTTTTTTTTTTTTTTTTTTTTTAGCAAGTAATAATATAAGTTCTGTTAAGATATTAACGAAATTTATATATTTTAACGAAATTTATATATTTATATTTATATATTTATTTTATATATATATTTTTTTTTATACATATTTTTTTTTTATGTAAGATTATACTAACTTTATAAAATTTGTATTGCTTTTTTTATTTATTTAAAGTTTTAAGTGACAAAATAGGAAAGATTATGGGTTAAAAAGGTGTAGCATTATTGAGTTGAAGTAGAAATATTTATTTACTTTCTGTTTATTTTAAAACTTGTATTGGTTAATTCCGGTAATTTTTCTTAACTGAATGTTAAGAGACGACAAATCTATTTTATTTCTTGTATTTTTTAAGAGATCAAATTGGTTGCATTTTCAGTTATCAAAATGCAAATGCAAAATATAACGAACTTACCTTGTTATCCATATTCAAATTAGCAAAATTTAGCATTTCAAACTAAATCAACATAACTATCAATATTTTCTTTAAAAAAAAAAAACTTAACAATACGTTAAACGTTTAAAATAAAAACTGTCGTTTATCCAAATTAATTTTTAATTCAAACATCGTATTGATAGGAGAAAAAAACACTTTGCAATAAACGGCTTAGATTAAATCAGAAAAAAAAGTCACATTGATGTGATTTTTTTGAATCATTTTTATTTATACAATTGTTTAAATAAAAATAAAAATGATTCAGAACACATAATAAGGCGACCAACGTCTTCTTATTATGTGGGAGTTCGCCATAAAAATTTTATTAAGCTCTTGCAAAAAGTGTTACCTTGAAACATGACATTATATAAAAAGTATAATATGATCAATAACCTACGATTATTATGAAAAAAATATATATCTGAAAGATGTAATAACTTAAAAATAATCCTGACGATTGTTAAAAACAATTTGCGCTAGTAAAACAGGGTGTGTTGATTTTTTGACAGCAAAACAATATAAGAAAAGGGCTGATTCAACAACGGGACAATTTATTTCCAGTCCCCAATAATGTAAAGACCGTTAATGTTAAATACTTGCTATCACTGTGTCATAAAATGATTTTAATTCGAACCTCTTTTCCCAAGAAAAACATTCGAGTGGTATAATGCACAAATATGTAGGAGTACATTGGAGTTTTGAAATGTTTCATCATTGTTCGTGAAAAATTTCAAGATTTTGATTTTTTGGTCTATTGGCAAGATTATTTATCAAATGAAATAAAACTTTTTTTGACATAAAAACTGTATATTTTTGTCACTCAAGTTACTAACTAAGATGAGCAACTTGTTTTGGTAAGAGTTTCTAGTTCCTAGGCCCTTTATTGATTTTAAAATTCCGGGAAAGGCCTGCAAACAGTTTCTATGTGGCTTTTGAGCAAAATAAAGTCCAAAACTATTTAAAATGCCGAATCAAGAAAAAAACTCATTATGACTACTGAAAAACTGTCTGTTTTCTTTGTTTGAAAAAAGCTAACAGGCAACATTAATTCGTGAATAAACGCTGTCAAGAAGTGTTTTTTTTATTTCAAGGCTCGTGTTTCGGTGTTATAGAGTTAAGTAGCCTCTTTGTCTGTAGTGGCCTTCTCGGTCTTGGAGAAATGAATTAACAAAAAAAAAAAAAAAAAAGATTTGTCCTGCAACAAGAAAATCACCATGTAATTGCATGATTTGTTATGTGGGAAAAGCCAAGTTTAGAAGCCCAATCAATCCAAAGCCCAAGATTGGAACAACAATCACAACCAATCAGCTGAAAGATAAGCCAATTGTTGAGAAACGTTGTTCAGCATGCTTTTCACTAATTGGAAGAGGGATTCCACTTAATTGTACAAAAGGAATCCTTCAACAAAACTTTCTTGAAGTTGCAACAAAAGAAGTAGTTAAAAAAAACTTCAGGGAAAAATTTAAGTCTCTTGGAAAGCATCTTTCTGACTTGTTTGTCACCTCAGAAATTTCAGATATACCCAAATGTCTATTGGAGAATAACCCAAACGTCTATTGGTGTACTGCAAAGATGTTGAAGCTTTAGGAAACACTTTGTTCAGATCAGAGGTCTTGAGTCAAATGAGCTTATCGAAATGAGAATTGATGGAAGATGGGGGTTCCTGAAAATGTTTCCAGGGTTTTTTGACTTAAAATTAAATGTTTCTTCCCCGACTAAGAAACCTCTCTTCAAGGACTCAGAATTGAAACATCAACTTCAGTGGTTATCTCAGAAAACCACTCTGAAAACTATGACAATATAAAGCAGATCATGGACAAATTGAGCCTTGATCGATTGCTGTTTTTGTTGCCATGTGAAATAAAGCTTTCAAATATTATTTGTGGTTTGCAGTCTCACTTAAGTGTTGACAAACACCTGGTATGACATTGACCAAACTGGTATGACATTCAAACTGATTATACTGGCTTCCAAGCAGCAAGTGTCCATAAAAATAAGCCAGGAACTTTCAAAATATTGTGCATAAGTCAATTATTAAGTTACGCTCATATTGGACTTCATTCCTCTCATGGAACTTTATTTGCTTCTTGGTATTGTTAACAACCTTTTCAAGAGTCTGTGTCTGCAGTGGAAAAATGCACCAGAGTGGACAAAAATGATGAACTTTCAATAACAACCTTTTTACGGAGAGCAACTAGCAGGCAATGAGTGCAGAAAGCTGTTACGAAATGTTGACTTGCTTCAACAACTTACGTAAAATCATGCTTGTTTTTTAGCATTTTCATTCATTGACACATTCAGAAAGTTTGATGCAGTTTTTCATACTTCTTTTTGAAATGTTCTTTAAAACAACTATCGCATCTTTATTAGGAGAATTGCTGCTGTCGAAATGATTAGTTTTATCTATTTTTTATTGAACCTGAAAATTTACTAACACTGCTATAAATATCAAAGTGCTTAGAATTTGTACATATAGTTATCTAAGTTTCTGTAAACATGAACACTAATCTTCTTCAAAGAACTTGAAGATTTCTTGTTTTGACAAGCTAAGAAGTAATGTGGAAAGTAAAAATTTTGTGAAAATATATACAGTTTTAAAAAGTACTTTAATATTGCATTTAGTTTTTTTAATTTTCAAAATATTTTACCAGTTATTATAGGGGAAGTGGGAGCATAACCACCCCCGTAGCGTATGGATTAATGTAATATGAAAATAAAAACGAAATGTGTTTATTTAACAGCTTATTTCAATAACCACATTATTAAGCTTTAAATTGAAGCAATTAATAATGTGGCGTAGACGACGTTTTTTTTTTTGCTTCTTTTTTATTTCAATAATAATTTTGATTAAAAAAAAAAAACTTAGGTATAACTTTTGGTATCCATAATGTGTACAAGTACTAAGTTCTTTATATATTAGGGGCGCCAAATTTTATATGCTTGACTATTGATTTTGTAAATTTTTTGCTCAACACAATGAAAAAAAAATTTGATCGAGGAGTAGTAGTTAGTTAATTGTTGAAAGAATAAGTTTGTGAATTAATTGTTTATTAAATTGCGTCTCCTACGTAACCTCCTGGATTCAGGCAGGAATGATAGATTTTATTCCTTCTTGTCTGTTCCAAGTCAAGGCTCATTCTACTCCATGGTTTTCACCTTCTTGTGCAGCTGCTATATCTAATTGTAATTGTTTTTTTCATCTTCTTCAAAAGAACAACTCTCTTGAGAACAAACGGCTATATATTATTGCAAGAAATCTATCTAAAAACGTGCTGTCAAACCCTAAGCTCCATTATTTTCAATTCATTAAACCTCGTATTTATTTCAGAAATTAGGCTCTAGAGACTTTTCGAAAATTTTTAACAGTGTCGTTAACAAAGGAAGGTCTAACATATCACGTCTTATTCATGGGTCTATTCTTATTACTTCTCCCAAGGATAAGGTGGAACTATTTGCAAAGAACTTTTCTTCTAAATCGAATCTCGAATCTAATGGCCATATTCTTCCTTCCATTCCAATTAAACAGGTTAACCCATAGTAAAACATTCAATCCACTCCAGCTTTCTTCTAGGCTTGTGGTCCAGACAAAATTTCCATCATAGTTTAACAAAATCTTTCTCCAGAACTTTCTTCACTTCTCTCTAAACTTTTTAATAAGTGCTTGACTGAGTCTTGTTTTCCTGCCTGTTAGAAAATAGCATTTGCTGTTCCAATTTTCATAAAGTCTGATAAACATTCTGACCCCTCCGATTATTATCTTATCAGTCTTCTTTCTGTTATTAGCAAGGTCTTTGAGTCTTTGAAAAACAAATTTCTCACCTTTCATCTTGAGTCAAAAAACTTACTGTTAGACAATGAAAACGATTTTCGATCCTCTCACTCTACAGCTGACTTGCTAACTGCTGTAATTATAAGAATTTTTCTCCATTAGATAGAGGCAGAGAAGCTATGGACTTGACATTTCTAAAGCTTTTGACAAAGTTTGGTAGGCTGGTCTTTTCCATAAGCCAGTTTTAAATGGTGTATCTGGGAAAGTTTTTTAAATTATCAAATTGTTTCTTTGTAACCACTTTATTAAAATCGTCCTCAAAGACCAATACTCTTCTAAATTTCCAGTAACTTCTGGGGTACCTCATGGTTCTAATCTAGGGCCTGTTTTGTTTCTTATCTATATTAATGTTCTTCCTGACAATCTTACATCTAAAGTAACACTTTTTGCTGATGGCTAAACTTTATACTCATGGCTTGACAAAAAGCCTTCTCTTTTCAATTGATTAGAACAAGCAGCCGATCTTGAATCTGGTCTAGTTTCTGTAACAGATTGGGGCTCACAGAAGCTTGTAAATTTTAACACCAACAAAACTCAGTTATTTACTGCAAACAACTATCGCAGTAATGTTGATATTCCTAAATTAATGAATAGCACCCCTCTCGGTGAGTCCTCTTAATTACTTCTTCTCGGATTATCATTTACTGCTGACCTTTTATGGAAACCATATATACAATCAATTGCCAAATTATCATCTGCTAAGGCTATTTCTCTTTATCGTGCTCGCCATTTTCTTTTTCCTGATTCTATTTTCTACCTCTAAAAATCTCTTATTCGTCTCTGTATAAAATACTGTTTTCATATTTGGGCTGGCTCTTCTAATGACGCTTCTTCTTTTCTAGAGAAGGTCCAAAAACACATTGTAAACGTTCTATGTGCTCTGCTCTGTATCCGCTTTATCTGCTACGCTTGAGCCTCTTTTCCAGTAAAGAGAATATCATTTTCTATTCTACAAATATTTTCATGGCCGCTGTTCAAAAGAACTATCATATCTAGTTCCATCAACTAAAACTCAATCTCGTTTGACTCGTCATTCAGCAAAGTCTCATTCTTTAATCGTATCTGTTTTTTTCGTCTAGTTTTTTTTCTTCGCACTTCAAAGCTTTAGAACTCTGTTCCGTTTTCATGTTTTCCTGGCTCATACAACCCTCAACTTTTTAAGTCTTCAGTCAACCGTTTTCTTACTCTATAACTCTATTCTTTTTTTCTAGTAACACCCAACTTAATAGTAGTTGCTTGCAGCTTTTTTGGGAGTGAATCAAAATAAAAAAATAAAATAAAAAGTTCAAGTCATGTTTTTTGTATGTA